AGCCATACACCAAGAGAAAATGTTTGCAAAACACTTATCTGATAAAGGACTGCTATCTAAAATACACAGAAAACTCTTAAAACCCAACAGCAAGAAAACAAACCCCAATAAAAAAATGAACAAAAGGGGGTCCCTGGGTGGCCCAGCGGTTTAGCACCTGCCTTCAGCCCACGGCGTAATCCTGGAGACCCAGGATGTAGTCCCACCCACATCAGGCTGCCTGCATGGAGCCTGCTTCTCCCTCTGCCTCTCTCTCTGTGTCTTTCATGAATAAATAAATAAAATCTTAAAAAAAAATGAACAAAAGATCTGAATGCAAATCTCACGGAGGAAGATAAACAGATGGCAAATAAGCAGAAAAAGGATGCTCAGTATCGTATTATCAGGGAATTGCAAATCAAAACAATGAAATATCACTACACACCTGTAAGTTTTTTTGTTTTTGTTTTTTTGAGAACGAGGGGGAGAGTAAGCAGCCTCCCATGTGTAGCATGGGCTCAATCTCATGACCCTGGGATCATGACCTGAGCTGAAACCAACTATCAGACACTTAACCACCTGAGCCACCTAGGCACCCCAAGAATGGCTAAATCTTTATTTTCAAAAAAAGATTTTATTTATTCATGAGAGAGACACAGAGAGGCAGAGACATAGGCAGAGGGATAAGTAGGCTCCCTCCATGCAGGGAGCCCGATGTGGGACTTGATCCCAGGACCCTGGAACCACGACCTGAGCCAAAGGCAGACCCTCAACCACTGAACCACCCAGGTGTCCTGGATGGCTAAATTTTCAACAAAAGACGATTCTAAATGATGAAAAAGATGTGGAGCAACAGGAACTCTCATTGATTGCTGGTGGGAATATGAAATGGTATGGCTACTCTGGAAGATGGTTTGACACTTTCTTATAAATCTAGACAGTGTTAACATATGATGCAGCAATCATGCTTCTAGGTATTTACTCAATTGAGCTAAAAACTTATGTCTACACAAAAACCTGCACATGAATGTTTATATCAGCTTTATTCACGATCGCCAAAAACTAGAGGCAACCAATATGTCTTTCAATATGTGAATGAATGGAAAAACTGGTACATCCATACAATGGAGTTATTCAGCAATAAAAATATTCAGCAATGAAAATAAATGAGCTACCAAGCCACGAAAGACATGGAGAAACCTGAGCTGCATATTGCTAAGCAAAGAAGCCAATCTGAAATGGCTTTACACTGTCTGATTCTGACTATCTGGCATTCCAGAAAAGACAAATCTGCAGCAAGAGTAAGATCAGCAAGTAACATCATTTGTTGAATGACTTTTTTTGTGGATCAACTTTTTCACCCCAACTTCCCATTTGAAGTGCTCTCCTGTTTAGCGTTCATTCAGTTCTAAAGACATCTATGTTACTTTATTATTAAGCACGGTTTGGGTACCTACATAGTAACCTTAAGCTGATCCAACTCTCTTTAGGGGGACATTGCTCTACTGAATACATAATTCTTGCAAATGAAAACATAAAGTTCTGAAAACATAAAGTTCATGCATCATGTCCTGGGAAATCCTCAGGAGATTACTGGAGACACTTGAAACATATCAAATACAGGGACAGCAATATCAGTGGCTGTGATTACCACCATTTACTATGACCACATAGCATCGTTATCAAACCTGAGAAATGTAGTAGAGGAGAGAGTCAGGGAGGTTGCTAGGGTAATGATTCTTCAAAGAAATTACAGAGTTTGCAAGAATGTTAAGGTGTCTAATGCTGTAAAATATAAAAGTCCATCACCTGTCTCTCCACCAAAAAATGACTCCCTGGCACCCCTGCGACCACCCTAGATCCAGTCTTGTTGGGCAAGCACAATAAACCTTCTCACACTACATTTTAAGTAGGAACCGTATAACGCCGTCTACATTTTTCAGTTTACGTATCTGGATCCATACCAGCACTTCCCCACCACGCTCTGTTCTTTAATGAACTGTGCACTATCATTACCTCCATTTAACAGATGAAGAAATGCTGGCAGAGACACTGAGTACCTTGTTCAGGGTCACATAGTCAGGTGAGTGGCAGCTGAGATTCAAATCCTGGTAGCTGGCTCCAGAGTGGATCTCCTACACTACACATCCTGATACCTCACATGTTTTACATTTACAAGTAAAGAAATATCTGCTACCTCAATCTCAGAATGCAATCTGCCTTCCTTTTCAGTGTATGTAATTCAATTCATGGCTACTGGCATGCTATTATAAAACAGTTCCATTTTAGAGAATGGGGAACATGGAACATGTCCCCTGATTTGAAGACAGAAAAATCCCACTTCTCCCCAAATCCCTTATTTCCATTTTCTTAAATGCTACTTAATAACAAGTTTAATTTCTGAAATTTAGGGTATCTCACTGAAACTCTAAACAATTAACATAATTTCACATTAATAAATAAAATAATAAGGCCTAATACTTAGCTAATGTAAGCTAACCTCCCTGAAACAAAGACTGTTAACGATAACAAACTGCATTTTTCAAAGCTCCCAATAACCAAAACAGAACAGAGACACCACCCCTTCGTGCTTCCGTGAAGGCAAAGCTATTTTCTCCTCTTCCAAATTAATTCTGAGGAGTGTGAAACATTAAGATGGTTTTCATTTCTGAGTTTAAAAGGCAATTAGGAGCGGGAAGCAAAAGGGCACCCAGAGCAATGGAATATGCATGACGCATTCCATCAATGTTTGATGAATATTCCTAACCTACCAATTTAAAACCAACATTTCTAAAGGCATTAAGGTCAGGACTACAACCTGTATCTGCCAATGTAGGGGCCGAGCAGATGTGTCAAGACAACGCTTATTTAAAACAATCCCTTGTTATAATATCTTCAAACTGTCTTACAAGTTTTTTTTTTTTTTTAAGTAACTACTACAATTTCATGCAAAATATTTTGTTCTCCTTTCAGGAACTCTTTCCATTCCTGAACAATCACCTTGGATACTCCATCAGGTAAAAATGCTGACAGATGACCTGGCTGCGCAGAACAGGGGAAGGAAGGAGAGCTGATGCTTTCTGAGCACCACTGCTGGCCAGACACTGTCCCACAAAGCTCACTAAGACCACGTGTATTTATTGACCACCACTCTTTTTTTTTGGGGGTGTGTGTGTGTGTGTGTGTATATGTATATGTATGTATATGTATGTGTGTGTATATATATATATATATATATATTATTGGAGTTCCATTTGATTTGACCACCACTTTTTAGTACTGTCCACAGTACCTACGTGGTCCAGGTACTGGACCAACACGTGTGTGAGGAGTGACTGACAAACGGACAACCTACATGACTGAGAATCCAACTAAGCGGACTTACTTGCCATGAATACTTTTTCAGTATTAGAAACAATCCTGACTTTGAAGGCAAATCCACCCAGTTTCACGCAGGCATTTGCATCCGGTGTCATTACCTCACTATCCTAAGACTCTTTTTGTCCCTTGCTACGAATCCTTTGCTTAATGAAAAACATAACCTGTTCCCATTAAAGCCTTTATCGTCTCTGCACGTGAAAATCAGGACGCAAAAACCTAGCTCTGCGCAGCAGCTCCTTAGAATTCCTCTTTGCTGTAAAAACTCGGGAATTGGTGCGCTCAGCTTCTAGCCAATAATCCCCTTAGCACCGTGTCTGAACTTCTTCCAGACTCTGTCTAGCTCTAAGACATTTCATCCTATTATATGGTACCACCCACAAAACGTTTACTCTGCCTACTGCTGGGCTGACATGCTTTTTTTTTTTTTTTTTTTTTTTCTTTCCTCCCCGGGAAACCAATGTTTAAAATCCTCAATCTGGGCAGCCCGGGTGGCTCAGCGGTTTAGCGTCACCTTCAGCCCAGGGCCTGATCCTGGAGACGCGGGATCGAGTCCCCCGTCGGGCTCCCTGCATCTCCCTGTCTCTCTCTTTCTGTGTGTGTGTGTCTCATGAATGAATAAACAAAATCTTTAAAAAAATAAAAATAAAATCCTTAACCTTGCACCGCCGTTCACAGATGGCGTTTGGAAGCCGCCCAGCTGTCTCCTCCCCCTCCTGGGGACCTTGGGGGGCAGCTTCATGACCTTGCAGGGTAACTGCTTGAACCTGCTGGTTTCGAGGCAGTACTAGGTGTCTCTCCCTTCCGATCGCCATCAGGCGGGCCTTTTTTTCCGGGTCCCTTCTGCACCCCAAGTACCCCGGGCGGAGGGCACTCGCTCCGTGCACTCAGCAGCGGCCGGCCGCGCTACACGCTGAGGGCGTCAAGCACCTCCGGGCTGAGGCCAACAGCTCCCGCCGGCCCAGGCTGCCTCTGCCCGGCTCTGCAGGGCCTCAGGAGGCCCTAGACCTTGCCTCGGGGCCTCCCCTCCCCCTCGGGCCGGGGAACGACTCCCCGGGCTGCACCTGCACCTGCGCGCAGGGGGGGCTCCGCAGGGAGGCATCAGAGGAGGGACTCCCAGGCCGCCCCCAAATCGAATCGGACTCGGGTCTCCCCCCCCTCGCCCCGCGAGGCCCCAGACGGCCGCTCCTCGCGTCCCGGCCGCCGCTCCCCTGCAGCCGGGGCTGCCCAGGGCCTCCGCGGGGCAGCGGGCCCAGCAGGCCTTGCGGTTCCCGGCCGGCGCCGCTCGCCTCCACCCGCGTCCGCGCCCCCCGGGCCGAGCTCTGCCACTCCTCGCGCCCCTCCCGGCCCTCCCGCAAGCTGCCATACCATTGCGGCTGCACGGCCCAAGCCGAGAGCCCGGCGACGCCCGCCCGAGAGAACATGGTGCCGCCGGCGCCGCTGAAGGTCGGTCAGACAGGCCTCACCGCGCCTGCGCGGGGCCTTCCCGACGCGCCCGCCCTCCGCGCTCTCTCCCGCAGTCTCGCTTCCTCCCGCCGCCGACGGCGAAGCCTCGCGAGCGTTGGAGGGGGCTGTGCCTCCCGAGGCCCCACCTCCTTCCGGCTCTGGGCCCACCCACCCAGCTTCCTTCCGCTTCCGGTTGGCGGGGCGCTGGGCTTGGGGAGAGTCGTCGCTGCCGGTGGTCGCGATGGGAAAGTCCGATTTCCTTACCCCGAAGGCCATTGCCAACAGGATCAAGTCCAAGGGGCTTCAGAAGCTGCGCTGGTACTGCCAGATGTGCCAGAAGCAGTGCCGGGACGAGGTAAGCGGGCCCGGGGTGGGGGGGTGTCCCGGGGCGGGGGGGTCCGCGCTGGGCGACCAGCTGCCCGCCTCCCCGGGCGGCCTCACCTGCAGCGCTCGCGCGGGGGGAGCCGGGGGGTCGGGCGCCTCATCCCTCCGCGAGCTTACCCCAGGAAGGAGTGACCTGGGAAAAGGTTCCGCAGCTCTCCGGGACGGGAAGCTGCTCCTCTAGCCGCGTCCTAGAACGGCGGCGCAGGAGGGGGCAGCGCCAGGCCTGGGGATAGCAGCAGTCCTGACTCGACGCGGCCCGGGAGGCTCGGGGTGACTAGGCTCCAGGCCTCCTGTCGGGGTCGGACGACGCCGCTGGCAGGTGTTTCTGCAGCGCGGGCAGCACTGCTGTGGATGGACCGTGGTCGCGCAGCCGCGCCGCTTCCCACCCGTGTAGTGCGGGGCAGGTCGCTTGCATTCCCCCTGCCTGTTGGCTAGTCTCGTTAAGTGGGAATAAGAATTGCACCAAGCAGGGGAGGGCCCCTGGGTGGCTGGCTCAGCGGTTGAGCATCTGCCTTGGGCTCAGGGCGTGACCCCGGGGTCCTGGGATCGAGGCCTGCACCGGGCTCCTCTGTCTGTGTGTCTCCGCCTCTCTCTGTCTCTGTGTCTCATGAATAAATACAAGCTTTTTTTTTTTTTTTTTTTTAATTTTAAAGGGAGGATTGTACCTACCGGTAAGATTGGGAGTTTTTTTTTTTTATTATTATTATTATTATTATTTTAGATTGGGAGTTTTAAATCCATGAATGATGTGGCCGTGGCTGGGGAAGGCGGGCTGTCTTTGGGCAGCTCTTAGAAACTTTGGTATAGGGGTCCCATGAAGTCTATATTTTTTTCTCTCATTGTTGAGGCGGATGATAAAGCACCTTGAAGAACTGAGAGCAAGCTAGTGACAGGCTCATCATCTCTGGACATTGAGTTGGATTGCGTAGGTGCAGGGGAATGTTGGATAATCAGAAGGATAACCCTCCTCCAGGGTTTCCGCCGGCGGGGGATTAGATGCTTCGGGATGGACTCACACTGAATAACACCGACACAGTCTTTTTTTTCTTTTTTATCTCTCTCCACTTCTCTTTTTTTAGTAGTCAAGGTGAAATTCTCACACAGAAAACAAGAGGCTAATCCCATGAACATGCATGTATCTATGACCCATATTTAACATTCTTTTTTTTTTAAGACTTTATTTATTTATTCATGAGAGACACACAGAGAGAGAGGCAGAGACACAGGCAGAGGGAGAAGCAAGCTCCATGCAGGGAGCCCGATGTGGGACTCAATCCCAGGACTCCAGGATCACATCCTGGGACGAAGGCAGGCACTAACCCGCTGGGCCACCGGGCTGCCCCGTATTTAACATTCTAAGCAACTTGTCTGTCTTTGCTTTTTTCTGAAATATGTTAAAGTATATTGCAAACCTTGGGACATTTCATCACTACATACTTAAGTATGCATCTCTAAGATATTTGGGTCTCTCTCTCTCTCTCTCTCTCTTTTTTTTAGGATTTTTATCTTATTTATTTGAGAGAGAGAAAGCATGAGCAGGGGAAGGGGAAAAGGCAGAGCGAGGAGCAGGATGATTGGGACTTCATTCCAGGACCCAGGACCTGATCCAAAGACAGTTGCTTAACCAAGTGAGCCACCCAGGGTCCCCGTCTAAAACACTCGGACCTTTTTCTAGGTAGCCACAATACCCATCAGCCCACATAACAAAATTAATAATTTCCTTCTGTCTTCTGAAACATACTCCATATTCACTTGTCCTCCCTCCCTTGTTCCCACAGATGCTTTTTATTTATTTATTTTTATTTTTAAAAGAGTTTAACTATTCATGAGAGACACAGAGAGAGAGGCAGAGACACAGGCAGAGGGAGAAGCAGGCCCCCTGCAAGGAGCTCCATGCAGGACTCGATCTCGGGAATCCAGGATCAGGCCCTGAGCCAAAGGCAGACACCCAACTGCCGAGCCACCTAGGTGTCCTGCACAGATGCTTTTTAAAAGTTTTTTCAAACCATGATCAAATCAAAAGCTATGAATTGGATGTGTTATTAGGACTTTAAAAAATATTTTTTAAGAGCAATTTTAGGTTCACAGCAATAAAGAGTGGAAGGTACAGAGCTTTCCCATAGATAGGCCTCACTACAGCTTCCCCCATCAGCATCTTGCAAAAGAGCAGTACTTTTTTACAATCAATAAAGTTACATTGATACGTCATCATCTCCAAAGTTTACAGTTTATGGTACCGTTCACTCTACATGTTGGACATTCTATGTGTTTGGACAAATGTATAATGACATATACCCATGATTATAGTATCATACAGAATATAGTTTCACTGCCTTAAAAATCTCTGCGCTCTGGATTATTAGAACTTTTAATCCTTTCTCAGTTCTAAACTGAATATAGACCCCACTTCCCTCACCCTTTCTCCTGACCCCTGAAACCCAATTATTTTTCTTTTCTTTTTTTTAAATTAATTTTTTATATGAGTATAGTTGACACACATTACACACACATTAGTTACATTAGTTTCAGGTGTACAACCTAATTTATATCTTAGACTATAATCCTGTTTATACCTTATGCTGTGTTCACAAATGTAGCTGTCTGTCACATATCACATTATTTTATTAACAATAGCGTTGACTATTTTCCCTATGCTGTACCTTTTATTTCCATGACATTCGTTCTATCACTGGGCGCATGTATCTCCCACTCCCCTTCACTTGTTTTGCCATCCTCTAATCCCCCTCCCCAGCAACTGTCAGCTCTCTGTGTTTATAGGTCCAATTGTGCTTTTGTTTTTGTTTATCCCTTAGTTTTTTAGATTCCACATATAGGTGAAATCATAAAAAATTTGCCTTTCTCTGACTTATTTCACTTAGCATAATACAGCCTGGGTCCATCCATATGGTCACAAATGGCAAGATCTCATTCTTTTTTATACAGCTGAGTACTATTCCACTGTGTATGTCTTCTTTATCCATCTTCTTTGTCTGTTCATCTATCAGTGGATGCTTGATTGCTTTGTCATTCTTTTGTTTTTCTGACATTGACTTGAAGAGACTGGGCTGGTAACTGCCTTGGAGCATTGCCACTTTCTGGTATAAAACAATCAGGTTTTCTTATGGTTATCTTTCACCTTCTTTCTCTAATTTATAGTTTCTATAAACCAGAACTTAGATATGAAGGCTTGATTAGGTTCAGGTTAAATATTTTAGGGAAGAACTACTTTATAGGTGATCCTGTGTATTTCGTATTATATCACAAAAGGAAGCCCATAATGTCTGATAGTGCTAAGATTTTTAAATAAAGATGACAGCCTGTAAAGTAATGTTAGAAAGTAATATTTTCCCTTACTAGCAAGTAACTGGTAAGGAATTACCTAGGTTCCCATCAGCCTTTTACTTAGGTGTTTTAGTATCTGTGATTGAGTCCATTATTGCCATAAGATTTGCAAAGTGGTTATTTTTCTATATTTTTCTAAATGTATTATTGGCTACCATTCTTTTATAAAAAGAGCTTTTTCTCATTAATTAGGACTGTTTGGTTATCCTTAAATGTTACCCTAAAATATAATTCCTATGGGAAAAGGAGATTAAAGGCTTAATTCTTTCTTTTAGTTGCCAACTTCAGAGTAAGATACTTGTGGTGGTTCTGTCCTGTTTGCCCTCAAATCTATTCGTTGCCTTCCCTACCTGGGAGGGTGGCCTGCGGGAGGAGAAGTTGACCCTTCCAAGGTCTTCCCCTGTCTCCCTAGCTCTCAGTATCCAAACATTGAGGGGGAGGAGGTCAGATCCAGAGTACTCCCTGCCACCCCCCACCAGCCCATCCACTCTCATGGGTTTCTTGAATTTAATAACATCATTTTGTTTTCATTTTATTGATTTATTTTTAACTTAGGGAATGTAGTACTGGTTTTCATTCATGAGACTGATACTAAGTTTCCTTTTAAGATATCTTTAAGTAAAAGTAAGGCACAGGTGGTACACAGATGAGGCAGAAATAGTGTGAGTAGACTGTGGGTGATCAAAGCTTAGGAAGCTAAGCAAGATGGAACGTTGACATCAGGCCAGAGACATGGGATAGAGCAGAGGGACACTAGAAGAGTTCTGAAGGAGGCTGAGTGGACTTAGTGACGATGGAAGGCAGACATAGAGGAGGATTCCAGGATGCCTGACTCTGGGGTCCTGGCTCGGGTGACGGGTGTGTGATTGTGCTGTTCACTGAGTGGGGAATATGGGAGGACGGACACATTTTCATTTCTATTTCTAGTGAAGAATCAGGTGTAAATGTTGAGTAGATACAAAACCAAAACTTAGAATTTTTTTTATTAACCATCAGAAGAAGATGAAATTTAGTATATTTAACATGAGGTTTCTGTAGTATGCCACAATATCTTTTGGATAATGAATTGAAGTAGAGGGGATCCCTGGATGGGGCAGCGGTTTGGCGCCTGCCTTTGGCCCAGGGCGCGATCCTGGAGACCCGGGATCGAGTCCCACGTCGGGCTCCCGGTGCATGGAGCCTGCTTCTCCCTCTGCCTATGTCTCTGCCTCCCTCTCTCTGTTTGTGTGACTATCATAAATAAAATTAAATTAAAAAAAATGAATTGAAGTAGAGAAAAGTGAGTGAAAATAGTCCCCTTAAAAGAAATTCACTACTGACCCATTTTACTTCATTACATCTCTCTAAGTGCTTGCACAGCACTACATGAAGTAGGTGTCCAATAGAATTTGTTAAAGTGATTTTAAAAAGTCACTCTTTTGTTACTGTGCCCAGTCATGTTTCTTATTAATGTGTGTTTTCCAAAGCACTGTTTTTCTGCCTTTTTAATCTCCTGGATTATTCTTTAATAACAGTGTTGCATAACTCAACCTTGTAAAAAACTTGTTTAAAAAAATGATAGTGTGTTTAGAGCTAGTTATTTTTCTCTTTTTTTCCCTTTTCTTTATTGTTTGTTTTTTCAACTTATCATCAAAGAGCAGCTTTTTAGGGTTGATTAAATACTTTTCTTTAGGGCCTATTATGATGACCTAGATGACCTAAATCAGAATGTAACTACTACCTTTCCATTTTTGTAGAATGGCTTCAAATGTCACTGTATGTCTGAATCTCATCAGAGACAACTCTTGCTGGCTTCTGAAAATCCTCAGCAGTTTATGGATTATTTTTCAGAGTAAGTAGCTTGAGGACATCCTTTCTCATAAGCTTTATTCTGTTGGACTCTTAGTAGATGCTTAGTATTTTCTATATTGGGAGCTCTGTTCATTCTTTACACATTAACACAATAGCTGTATTATCTTGTGCTCAGGTTTTGTTTTCCTTTGACAATTTATTATAGCGTAAAATTGTTTTTTTTTTTTTTTTTTTTTAACATAAAATTGTTGCAGAAGTGGGTCCCACAATTTAGTCTTGCACTTCCAACATAAACTGTCTTCATTCCAACTCAGTTGTGGCTAAGAGCACAGCCCTGGAGTCAGACTGTCTGCTTTGAACCCTGCAAATCCAGGCTTCTCTACTCATGAGCTGTGTGACTTTGGCTGAAACACATTTGTCTGTGCTTTTGTCTTCTCATCTGTAAAATGGACCTAAAGACAGCACCCTCTTCCAAGCGTTCTTTTTATTTTATAAAGTTTATATAAGGATTAATAAATTAATACTTTTTAAAAGTTTTATTTTGTTTTAAGATTTTTTTTTTATTTATTCATGAGAGACACAGAGAGAGAGGCAGAGACCAGGCGGAGGGAGAAGCAGGCTCCTCACCAGGGAGCCCAATGTGAGACTCGATCCCAGAACTCTGGGATCACACCCTGAGCCAAAGTCAGACACTCAACCACTGAGCCACCCAGGTGTCCCAATGAATTAATATTTTTAAAGTGTTTACAAGAGTACTCAGTACTCGATGAATAGCTGTAAATTATTACTATTAATGTTTAGTTTTGTTTCTACCTGTTTCTTTCCAAAGTTCTAGACCTTTTGTACTTAGGATCCCTTTACACCCTTAAAAATTATTGAAGAGCAGCCCTGAAGAGCTTTTGTTTATGTTTGATATTGATACTTGATTTTAATATATTGGTATTTGTAAAATAGGGATTAAAAATGAAAAAATTAATGTATTAATTCATTTAAAATAACAGTATTAAACCTATCACATGTTAAAATAATTTTTTTAATTTAAAAATGTATTTTTTAAAACAAAACAAAACAAAAATAAGAATGACGTTTACATATTTGCAAATCTCTTTAGTGTCTTAATGCTTTCTTTTTTTTTAAGATTTATTTATTTATTTATTTATTGATTCGAGAGAGAGAGAGAGAGAGAGGCAGAGACACAGGAGGAGGGAGAAGCAGGCTCCATGCAGGGAGCCCGACTTGGGACTCCATCCCAGGCCTCCAGGATCACGCCCTGGGCTGAAGGCAGGCACTTTAACTGCTGAGCCACCCACGGGTCTAGGGGTAATATTTTAATAGCCTTTTTCAGTTAATTTTGGATATTCTTCTTTGATACTGCATCAAAACGATAGCATGGTAGTTTCTTAAACTTTTTTTTTTAACTTATTTTTTTTATTATTTTAGAGAGAGAACATGCATACTCATGCACAAACTGGAGGAGGGGCAGAGGAGGAGATAGAATCTACAAGCAGACTGTCCGCTGAGGGTGGAGCCCAATGCAGGGTTCAGTCCCAGGACCCTGAGGTCATGACCTGAGCTGAAATCAGGAGTCAGTGGCTCAACTGACTGAAGCCCCCAGGCCACGCTGGCATGGTAGTTCCTTAAAGATTTGTTGTGTGGAATCTGAAACCATATCAGTGAACTTTTTAAACTCTAGTACCTTATGATCTCTTGATCTTTTACTTTTTTTAAATTTTATTTATTTATTTATGAAAGACACAAAGAGAGAAGCAGAGACATAGGCAGATCCCAGGGCTCTGGGATCATGACCTGAGCCAAAGGCAGACGCTAAACCACTAAGCCACCCAGATGTCCCTCGATCTTTCACTTTAAGCAGATCTTGTACCCATGCATGATTTTATAGCATCATGTATTGGTCATTTGGAAGATATTCATTTACTGAGTATCCCAAATGGTGACACGTTTTGTTACACAGTAGCATAAAATCATATTTATTAATGTTAGCACTTGTTATCAGAAATGTCTTTAAGTTTTGGGAAATACATCGAACTCACAGTGGCTGATGCTAGTTTACCAGATTCAAATTTTTGCTTGCAGCTCAAATTTTATCATTGGCAACAAAATACTGTCAGTTGTTCTCCTTGACATGACACACTTTGTTTAGTTTTGAAAAAAATGTCTACTAAATATCTAATCCGGAATAATCATGGCTGATTTGTCAGTCATTCTTTCAAATAAAAATGGTGCTCTTTGGAAAAAGGTAGTTCAGCACATAGCTCAAACATTCACACAAGTACTTTGTTTAAGACAACCCCTGTGCAGCAACAGAAATGATTTATTCCTAATCCCATTTCATCACACGGGATGTTAGAAAGATATAGCCCCAAAGATTGAGATTGAATCCCATTAATGATAGTGCTTCATCAGGGATGTTCTCAATGAAATGGGCATTGACTTTCACTGTGAGTACATGAAGCATACCTGGGCTGCTAGTACAGTTTGGTCTCACCACCCACCTCCTTGACTTGGCTAAGATGCCAGCAGGTTCACCCTGCGTTGCTTTTGTGCCATCAAGGCAAGTAGCATAGAGAAAAGACAAAAGTTCTTTATCTGTGAACCACCTAAAACCATCTGGAATACCACTGGGCTGCATGTGCCACACTTGGGGAAATGTCATTCTGGCAAGAACCATCCACACTGGAGCCTTCCTCTCTACCCCGCCATTCACTGCATCCACAGTAGCTGCCCTCCGCCTCCAACAGCCTCCTGAAGGGTCGCTTGTGCCTATTTCCATCTTCCTGGGTATCTGTTTTCACTGTCCATGAACACCTCTCTGTTTACCATTCTTTCCTGGCTTTCCTCCTCACCCTCCTCCTCCCTCTGCTTACTTTTTTCCTTAACCCCTCTGCCTGTCCCCACAGCAGCTCAAATGCAGGAATTTTCTTCAGGGTGCCTGCTTGGCTTCTTTTCATCCATAGCACGCAGGCTCCAGGAGTTCCATTCTTCCAGCTGCTAACCTTCATGTGGGATGACTCCTGAATCTTAATTTTCATTCCTAACATCTGTCTTAAGTTGCAGATTTTTTTTTTCTGCACAATTCTGTATTTCTGAAGGTTGTCTCTCTCAAAGCCAACATTTTAAAACTAAAGGCAGTATCCTGCCCACCACACCTGCCTGTTATCCTGGGCTGTCTGAAGCCCCTGTTTTGATTCTCCTCCACAGTGTCCTTTCAACATGTATCCTTTCCATTCTCACAGTTCTAGCAATAGTTCCCATCATCTCTCACCTAAAGTAATTCCGTGACTTCCCCTCACTGGTCTCCCAGCTGCAGCTTCTCCTCCTGCACATATTTTTTGCCCGTGGATCACAAACCATACAGGCATCATGAGCACCTGGAGGGCTTGTGACAACAGTGGCAGGTCCTGATTCAGAAGATCCGAGCTGGGGCTAGAGACTTGGCATTTCTACCTGGTTCCCAGGCAATGTCAATGCTGCTCTTCTGGGGGCCACCCTTGGAGAATTCTTGTTTGGTACTTTCCACAGGATTATCTTTTTAAATCACAGATTTTCACGGACTAATTCCTAAATAATGATCTGGTGCTTTTCCACTGCATGCATAAGACCCACCCTCTTCAAGGTGCTTCTAAGATAAGCCCTACCAGTTTTTCCAGCTATGTGTTCCACCCCCACCCCGTTATTCTCTTCTGTCCCACTGTATCCCTCCTACCTGACTACTCTCAACATTAGCTTGATTAGATGATCATTTCCCTCCCAGACGTGATATTTTCATGTCCCTCTGCCTGCTGGGAATGGCCTTCTCTTCACTCTGAAGTTCTGTTTAATACTTCACTGCCCAAATTGGAGATCACCTCTGGGCATCTCCCTCAACTCCCATGATACTTTCTCATGTTTCTTTTGCAGTTTGATTTCTGTTATGGTGGATTCTGCTAGATTGTAACCTAGGTCAAGATTTATGTCTCATTCACCCATGTTTACCTAGCATGTAACACAGTACTCAGCGCAGAGGGACAGTAAATGCTAATTTCACATGTAATAAGGGGAGTTTGCTACCATCAAAAGAATGGTGTTATTATGCCACATTCAGTAGCAGTGAGACTTGTTGAAGGAGCCTCTGCAAAGATGTGTAGTCGCTTTGGTTACGGCTACTCTGCTAAGGCCAAAGGTTTCAACAGCAGATTGACTTTTCACTGTAATTCTTGAAAGCTATAATCTTTTGGGAATTCCTTCCTTTTTCAGTTTTTAAAGGTTTGTAACAGATACATAGATGTTTCATCTGTCCTTTGGGCATTCACACTGTATGATGGCTTACATTTCAGCAAGATGATGCTTTATATTTGTAGAATTACTGTAACGCACTCTTTCCTTTCCTTATTAGGGAATTCCGAAATGACTTTCTAGAACTTCTCAGGAGACGCTTTGGTAAGCATCCAGGTATTGTGCATATAATAACGTCATGCTCTTATAACCTGCACAGGAATGATGATGTCATATTTTGTTCTTAGGAACTAAAAGAGTCCACAACAACATCGTTTATAATGAATATATCAGCCACCGGGAGCATATCCATATGAATGCCACTCAGTGGGAGACTCTGACTGATTTTACGAAGTGGCTGGGCAGAGAAGGTAAGAATAAGACCATGATTTGAGTAGTTGTTACATGGCTCCAGTGCGGGGAGAGAGAATTGTCATAGTTTCTGAGTAAATTTATTGAAACGAGGGCGAGTAGGGCAATTCAAAATAGGTGGAAACACATATAATCTTCTAGGATTGATTTTGTGTGTTACACGTGATTATGAGTGGAATGGTTCTTTTGATTGGGCAGAGATGTATCACTGAAATTTTCATTTGGATTAAAATTTATTGTCAGTCCTTTCCCTCTCTTATCCCCATACTCATTTTACTTTCAGAAACTTTTGTTATAGGAGCTTTTTATTTTATTTTTTTTAAGATTGATTTATTTATTTTAGAGAGAAAGAGAGTCTGAGAGAGAGAGAGCCTGAGCAGTAGGGGTCGAGAGAGAATCTCAAGCAGACTCCACACTGAGTGCAGAGCCTGATGTAGGGCTCGATCTCATGACCCTGAGACTGTGACCTGAGCTGATCAAGAAACCAAGAGTTGGACACTTAACCAACTCGGCCACCCAGACGCCCCAAGGAGCCTTTTAAAAATTTGTTGCAGCTTTTTCCATTTCTGACCTTCATAGACTGAAGCTCAGGAGAAGAGAGGAGAAGGAAATTTTGTCAGTGTATTTCTTATTCAGTGTGTTACTTTATTTCATTTTTTTAAAAACTTATTATTATTTTTTAACATTTTATCTATCTATTCATGACAGAGAGAGAGAGAGATACAGGCAGAGGGAGAAGCAGGCTCCGCACAGGGAGCCTGACACAGGACTCGATCCCAGGTCTCCAGAATCACACCCTGGGCCAAAGGCAGTGCTAAACCACTGGGCCACCAGGGCTGCCCAACTTTATTTCATTTTATGGGGAAAATTTCTACTTAGTTAAGTTAGTAGAATATCATGTATTCCTTGGATGTTAAATAGTTAAATAATTACTAAGCAAGATAATACTTCTGTGTATTTCTCTTGCTTAAATAGTTGACTTAACCTAGCTAGTTAAAAACAATACAATTTTTTTCTGTTTAAGGACATAAAATATTTTACTTAAAACCTAAATTTCATCAACCATGAATATGGAAAATTTGTGTGCTGCATGAATGTGTGTTTTTGAATGTGTTTGAATGGATGTATTTGAATGAATAAGCGTATGATGCAGAGAGATAGAACACATTTGTATTTACTTTTAGTTTTGATTGTATACGAATTTGTCTTTTTTTTTTTTTTTTAAGGCTTGTGCAAGGTGGATGAGACTCCAAAAGGCTGGTATATTCAGTATATAGACAGAGACCCAGAAACTATCCGCCGGCAGCTGGAACTAGAGAAAAAAAAGAAGCAGGACCTTGATGATGAGGAAAAAACAGCCAAATTTATCGAAGAACAAGTGAGAAGAGGACTGGAAGGGAAAGAACAGGTGGGTGACAATATTATTCCAGGAAGCAACAGAGAAAGGTCTCAAGAAGCAAAATTTTTAAGTGTTGAATTGGGTTTTGTAGGTCTTGTTCCTTAATTAAGAGAAGAAAAAACTGTGGCCAAGTATAAAAGCCCAGGTTTTGGAGTTGAGACAAACCTGGGTTTGTGTGCTGATTGACTCACGATCTTGCAGAGTTATATACTCTCCTAAACCTCAGTTTCTGTATCTCTGAGGCAGAAGCGATAGCTAATGGGGAAGACATAGCAGATCATACTGCATGGCTGTAACGAATGTAGTGCTGGAATTAAAAACAGCGTGAGAGCCTAGAGGGCCAGCATTTGCCCCAGCCTGGGGAGGGTATAGACTGCCTGAAGGTAGATACAACCTCTGGGCTCAAAGAATGAACCCACAAAACCCAGCAAATAGGGGAAAGAGAACATGGTTCAGGTGGTTCAGGTGTTAGCATAACTAGAGTAAGGCATTTATTTTAACAAATATTTATTGGGTTCCCCTTATGTACCAGGCCTTTTTCTAGACACTGGGGATAAGTCAGTAAACAAAAGGTAAAATCCCCCCAACTCATGGTATTTATGTATCAAAAATCATGTGTGTACAGGAAAACATAACTTAGTATATATGTAAAATTACTAGCCATTGAGTATTTTTTAAAACCTTATTGTGGTATAAGATACATGTGATAAAGTATATGATGTGCGTTAATCTTAGGGTGACAGCTCAGTGAAATTTTACATATGTACATGCATATGTAAATGAATGGATGGGTAATAGATGGACCAAGACCCTATGTAGTGACCACACAGATCAAGATATAGAATGTTTCTAGGGTCATAGTCATTCCTAATTAAATTCCTCATTCCCAAGAAGGAACCAGTGTTCTAATGTACCACTGTTGATTATCTATCAGTGTGTTCTTGAACTTTGTAGAAATGTGATCCTATATTATACTCTCTATCTGACTGCTTTAACTCAAACAGAACGTTCTTCATGTTCACTGCACCTATCTTCTTTCCTATCAGTGTTTAAGTCTTGTTTTAAATTGATATCTCCTGTTCCATTGTAGAAACATCAGACAGTTTATCCATTCTCCTGTCGAGAAACATGTGGCTTGTTTTCAGTTTTTGGCTATTGTGAATACAGCTATTCTGATCATTAATGTACTTGTCTTATAGACGCTGTTTAGTACAGAGTGACGCAAGAGGTAGCAGGCAAGAGGAAAGTAAAGACCCATTTATTTAAGTTTTTTAAAAGATTTATTTATTTATTTATTCATTCATTCATTCATTCATGAGAGATACAGAGAGAGAGGGAGAGGCATAGGCAGAAGGAGGAGCAGACTCCTTGTGGGGACACCAATGCAGGACTCGATCCTTGGAACCCAAGCTCACAACCTGAGCTGAAGGCAGACACTCAAGCGCTGAACCACCCAGGTGTCCCTAAGATCCATTTATGAGTCAACTTATATACCATGTCAATTGACCTCCTTGATAAGTGGGTGGGTGCACATGTGTATCACGGTACTACTATCATATGCGTGCATTCACACAGTCTTTTAGGAGTTTTCTGTATTAAAATAAAAACAATGGTTAAACTGCTGTAATTGTCAAATTTCAACTCCTGCCAAAGATTAAAAGCTTTTTATTCTTGAAATTTTCTCACCTTTTTGAAATATAAACCTCTATTTTCTATAGAGGGAAAATGATAATTTCCTATTATGGAAGTAAAGAAGGATCACATCTTGTACAGAGGAAAGTGGTTTACTTTTTGGAATATTTTTGTTTTGTAACATTTTAGCTTAATTCCATTAAAATCTTCAAGTTACTTCGTACTTTTCAGGTGCGAATAGCATCTCCCCCCTAAAAGGCAGGGGAAGTCCTGCTTATTAGTACTTCCTCATTCCACTCTTAGATATTATCAGTTTTTAAAAAGTAATATATCTTTCGCCTTCCTTTGTGGGATCTTAATGGAGAAAAGAACAGCTCAATTGTTTCTCAAGAACATTTTTATTAGTAGAAACAATAATTAACATTTGTCAAACACTATCACAGGCGTTATGCTAAATGCTTCTTTATATCCTCCTGTTTTACCCTTATGACACCTCTAAATATGCATATTATTCCTATTTTAAAGACAGAATAATTGAGGCCCAGGGAGAGCAGGAGATTGACAGGCGACAAAGGTAATGGTGTGCAGAGGTGACTGGGTTTTACATTCGGGTCTGAGTTAGTCTTAGGCTCTTGATCTTACACTAAACTATCCCCTCCACTATGGAAAGGTTTTGCTTTTTAAAGTAATCCTCTAGCTAAAATTCTTAAGGCTTATTGTTTTATGTTGTATCCTGTTTAAATTGTAGTAGATATAAAAATGTAGATAAACTTCTGCAGTGTAGTACAGAGAAGCTACTTTTTTCCCCTTTAGAATAATTCTCAGTTGAAGAAAACTTATGACACATATAACTTTTTTAACTAGGAACTTAATCATTTTAGAACTGCATGTTGGAGCTGTCTTACAATATGGGTAGCAAGTCACAATTTGGGATGATTGAATATTGTAAATGCACTGTGAACCAAACATTCATACTCTCTCTTTTTCTTTTTTCTTTTTTTTTTTTTTAAGGAGGCTCCTGTTTTTACAGAGTTAAGCAGAGAAAATGATGAAGAAAAAGGTAGCTTTACTTTTTTCTTCTTTTACTATGGATGATTTTGTATTAGCGCTACCAAAAATTTAGCAACATGTTTGCGGACAAGACATGATCTGTCTGGATTGCATTGTTTTTACCACTTTATGAAAAGGTAATAATGAATCAGGATGCCTTCAACTACAAGTGAAAAAAACAAAAACACAACTAAAATCAGCCTAAATAGTATGTAAATACTTTGCTGTAACAAGAGCCCCAGAGGTTGGGCGGCTCTGGATGCCATCGTATCCTGTCAGCAGCTGAATGTGAGGTGGCTGCGGGCACTTTTGGCCATCGTATGCACACCCAACATTGTCCAGAGAATGACAGGGGCAACTTTTCTGGAGTCCCCAGTGAGCAAGGAAACTTTTCCTATAAGACACTCCTCTGGCCTGCAGACTTCCTTTTGAATGTCACTGACCAGTCTGTATTAGCCTCCAGCTTACGAGCAGTCACTGGGAAAGGAAGTGAGATGATTTTGGTTGGTTTAGAGCAAAAGAACCTTACTGATTACCTCTAGAAGGCTCCCATCTCTTAATCCCATCACTTTGGCCATTAGGTTTTCAACATAAGAATTTGAGGGGGATATGAACATTCATACCCTAGCATCCTCCAAGCCATATGTGACAGGTATGAACACCTAAACAAAATTGCAATCCTGTCCCCTAGTAAGGGGAGAGGGGGCCGTGGAGCCGGAAGTGGCCATGACTGTCCCCTACAGGTCAATCATGTGTAGATCTTCCCAGCTCTATGAGCATCCGCCCAGTATTCTTATCTGCAGAAATTTATCATCTCAGGATGGGAGCATTCCAGCGCTCGTTTATTCAAAATGTCCATGAACTTCTATGTGGAGATATTGTGGTATCTTATCTGTTAAGTTTTATAATTTTTCTGAAAAAAAAATACACTTGTATGTGTGTGTATATATATATATATATATGTATGTATATGTATATATAATGAAATATACATGCAAAAATGTATCATTTCTTTTTCTTCCAGTTACATTTAATTTGAATAAAGGAGCATGTAGTTCAGCAGCAGCGTCATCCAAATCAAGGTGAGCTACATGGACAGACATCTTAGAACCTGAGAATTGTTGTGAAATGTTGATGACGACATTTTAAAAGCTGTGGTATGGTAAACAGTTTTTTTCTTCTGGTTGCAATTTTCTTCTTTGTTTCGTTTTTGTTTGATGGCTGTTTTGTTTGTCAACGACTGTTTTTTTTTTTTTTCCTTACTTACCCACAATGGTATGATTCTTCTGAGGCCAGGCACATTTTGATTAAATGTTCCACGTGACAAGGTTTTACTTCTCTGTGAGCCCTTCTCCACAGATTGGTTCTCTCCGTGCTACTGCAGTGCTATTGATTTTTCTCACAGCCCACTTACCAAGTTTAAATATGAGCAGGTGCATACAGTTTTTGTTCTGCCTACCATATTGAGATTTTGTGAGAATGGAGACTAGGTCAGTGACCCAACTTCTTAGTCCTGGTACAGTGTAAACACACCAGTGGGCACTCAGTCATGGCTTCCCTGCTGCATGGTGTAGTAGCAGAACAGGGCTTGACAAAGTTTTTCTGGAAAAAGCCGCATAGTACATATTTCAGACGTTGTTGGCTATGTGTCTTGGTTGCAACCACTTGATTGAGGTCAGAGTGAGAAAGCAGCCATAGACAATATGTAAACAAATGAATGTGCTCTGTTCCAATAAAATCTCACGTATAAATACAGGCAGGAGGCCGCATTTGGCCCTTGGGTTGGAGTTTGCCAAACCCTGGAATAGCACATAGTCAGATGCTTCTATTCACTTTTCATGTTCTCTTCTCTTGCATTTCTTATATAGTCTTTCACTAAGTATTTATTCCACTGTTTGTGATGTGCATTGTGTCCAGTTTGGTTATAGATATTAAAAAAAAAAATATTCAGGAAGGTACCATTCTACTGGTACTTCCCAGCACCTACCAGAATTTAGGTTTGAGTTGGCCAATAATTGTTATTTTTCTTAGTATTTTACATGTTTGTTAAAGACCTCAGTTTTCTTTGTTAATTTATAGGCTAGTGTTTCTTTGCACAACTGAATAAGTAGCCAGGAGAAGTGAAGGAAGTAGACAGAGTAGCCATGTATCACTGCTTTGGAATGGCTTGTCAGAGATCTTCACTTTGATCTAAATGTTTCAGAATTGACACCTGCATGAGATGTCATGAAGGAAATGGTTAATTGGATTCCACATTTGGTATATTTGAAGAAAAAATTCTTTTTCAAAATCTTGGTGTGACATGGTCTGGAAGACAAATTCAAATATATCAAACCATATGTGCCTCTTAGATCCATACATGTTTCTCACCATTCTCCTTTATTATTGTTATTCTGAAGTGTCTATCAATGTTAAAATTGATCCCGGTGGCCCCCAAACTCGTCTCCCTTGTATTAGTTTTCTATGGTTGCTGTAACAAATTACCATAAACCAAGTGTCTTTTTTTTTTTTTAAGATTTTATTTTATTTATTTGAGAGAGAGAGAGAGCGGAGTGAGAGAGAGCATGAGCAGGGAGACGGGCAGAGGGGGAGGGAGAGGAAGACTCTCTGCTGAGCAGGGAGCCCGATATAGGGCTCGATCTCAGGACCCTGAGATCATGACCTGAGCCGAAGGCTAATATAACCAACTGAGCCGCCCAGGCGCCCCAAACCAAGTGTCTTGAAACGACAGAAATTTATTCTGTCTCTGGAGGCCAGAAGTCTGAAGTCAGTATCCCTGAGCTAACATCAAGCCGTGTGCAGGGCTGCACGTCCTCTAGGGGCTCTGGGAGGATTCCATTCTTTGCCTCTTCCAAGCTCCTGGTGGGGCTGCTGGCATTCCTTAGCTTATGGCTACAAACTTCAGTTTTCAAAAGCAGTGTCTTCAAATTTCTCTTTGCTTCATTTTCACATCACCTTCTCTGTGCATCAAATCTGCCTGTTTCCCTCTAAAAAGGATGTGTGTGGTTGCATATAAATCATCTCATCTCAGAATCTATAACTTGATCTCATTTGCAAAGACCCTTTTCCAAATAAGGTAACTTTTATGAACTGCGAGGATGAGGACCTGTTATCTCTGGGGTCTGCTAGTTAGTCTTCTATCCCCCTAAGCCAGCTCTGATGTTATTAGTAAAAATAGTTTTATTTGACCGACCAAGTTCTGTGACTTCAGTCTCAATATAATAACAGATAAGTAGTGTCACAGATAATACAGTGGAAAGACCCGTCTAAATTTTCTTTTTCTAAGATTATGGCCCATTTTTATACAGGCTCTATTTTCCTGTTGATTTATATAGCTCTCGTATATCTAAAACTCAGAATGAACGAAACGATCTAGATACCAAAAATGGATACTTTAGATTATATTGAGGCACAAGGACAAGCCCTGCTTCTCCAGTTTTTGGACAAAGGTTACCCAGTTTCCATTTCTGTTTTGGGCCTTCTCTTCTTTAATTGCAATAGGATCCACTCCAGTTATTGCAAGCAGAACTCTAGGGCTGTTCTAGAAGCAAATGTTCCATTTCCAATCTGTTACTGTTCATTTCTTGTCTTGATTTTAGCCCCATCTTGCCCCTGTCTCAGTTAGTCACTCTCCAATAGAATCTTTGGGGGAGGAGGGATGTTATTGTTAGAGCAGCTAGTGTAGGATTAAATATAACACACAGCTGGGGCTCCTGGGTGGCTCAGTCGGTTAACTGTCCAACTCTTAAATTCAGCTCAGGTCATGACCTTGGGGTCATAAGATTGAACCCCGCATCAGCTTCCCCACTCAGGGATTCTGCTCGAGATTCTCTCCCTCTTCCTCTGCTTCTCCTTGCTGTGCGCCCATATGCATGGAAGTGCTCTCTCTCTAAAAAAGAAAAAAAATAATAATACTAAGATACAGCTGAAAAAAATTGTTTTGCATTTTACTTTTATGTTCATTATTGAGATTGATATTTAATTTCTGCTCTTAAAATGATTTGTATGTTTTTGTTTGTTTGTTTTACTCTAGTATCTTTAGGATAGACTATCACTTCTTTTGAAAGCTTGGTAAAATACTGAGCTGATATCTTTTGCAGGTGAGGGTGTACATTTACTATTGATTCAGTTTCGTTATGGTCATTAGTTTATCCAACCTTACAATATAATTTTGATTATACAAATATCAATAATTTATGTAATTTTGATTTTTCTAGAATGTCCTTTTTATCTAGGCTCTCAAATTTGATGTTTTACTAATCTTTTAGCATACCAACTTTTTGTTTTCTTGATATATCACTTCTTTGGTTCTGTCCTTCATAATTTCTTCTGTCAACATTTCTTCTATTCTTCCTTATTCATTTTAACTCTAATACAGTCTTGATACTGTGAGTAGAAGGATCTTTCTAAGTGTCAAGGCCTATCATGTCTGTCTTTCACCTGTAAGGGGTAACTTGTCATTTTTGTTCACGCTGCTGTGTGACCATTGTGATCTGGTGCCTCTCCCGCCACTTGCGCTCCAGCTATGCTAAATTATTTATGCAGTCCAAAGTGACCTGTGGTGGCTCACCCTTCCTTGTCTTTACGTCTCCTGTCCTCCCCTGTCCTGTTCTGTTGTGAGATCCTGACGGGCTGTCTGTTCATATTTTTATCCCCTTGTCACACTGTGGACATTTGAGAATGCCAAATACATTTTCTCTACAGGAAACTTTTTCTGTTCAGTTTAGTTTTTTTGTGTGCTGAAATTTATGTAACATAAAGTTTACCATTTCCACCATTCTTAAGTGGACAAGTCAGTGGTGATAAGTAGCTTCCCATTGCTGTGCAGCTGTCACCATATCCATCTACAGGGCTTGCTCATTAGCCCATTGTGCAGCTCTGTCCCCATTAAACACTTAATTCCCCATTTCCTGGTAGTCCCCAGCCCCCAGGAGCCCCTCTTCTAGTTTCTATCTCTCTGAATTGAACAATTCTAGTCTCCTCATAGGAAGGCAAGCATATAGCGATTGCCCTTTTGTGACTGGCTTCTTTCACTTACTTTAACGTCTTCAAGGTTCTTCCAAGGTTGCGGCATGTGTTGGAATGTCCTTCCTTTTCAGGGGTGAATAATATCCTGTTGTATGTATGTTCCACATTTGGTGGATCTCTTCATTGGTCAGTGGATGTTTTCAGTTATCCCCACCTCTGGGCAGTCATGAGCAGTGCTGCTCTGAACACAGTGGTACAGATGGCCTGTTCGGTCCCTGCTTTCAGTTCCCTGGGGTGTAGCCCCAGAAGTACCAATGCCAGATTGGGTGACTGCACTGCCTTCCTGTTTGCCACAGTGGCTGTGCCAGTTAGAGCACAGGAGTTCCAGCTTCTCCTTGTCCTTGCCAACACCTACTGCTTGCTTTTTTTTTTTTTTTTTTTTTTATAAGAGCCATCCTTGCAGATGTGAAGTGGTATTTCTTTGTGGTTTCGATTTTTGTTTCCTTAGTGGTTAGTCATGTTAAGCATCTTTCCATGTGCTCTTGGTCTTCTTTGGAGAAATGTCTTTTGCTTATTTTTCTTTAAAGATTTATTTTTATTTGAGAGAGAGTGAGAGAGAGAGAACAAGTGGGAGGGGCAGAGGGAGAAAGAGAGAGAATCTCAAGCAGAGTCTACCCTGAGCACAGAATCTGGTGTGGGGCTCGATCCCATGATTGTGATCTGAGCTGAAGCCAAGAGTTGGATGCCTCACTTTTGCTTATTTTTTAATTGGGTCGGTTGTTTGTTTGTCTTAAGATTTTATTTATTTATTAGAGAGAGAGCAAGAACGAAGGGAGGAGCAGAGGGAAAGGGAGAAGCAGACTCCCTACTCAGCAGGGAGCTTGATGCTGGGCTCGACCCCAGGACCCTGAAACCATGACCTGAGCCAAAGTCAGATGCTTAACCGACTGAGCCACCTGGGTTGTTTGTTTTTTATGCAGCTTAGTCTTAAGAAAAGTATCTAATAGCCTTGAGTAAACTCATGTTTCTGGGGTGAGACAAATAGCGAACTACTGAAGTAATTTATTAGGGCATTCTAGGAACCCTTGTTGAAAAAATTCAAGGAATTGAGAATGTAAAGAGAAGGCAGAAAAATAAGCAAATATTTTTCTAAAAAGTGGAGAAAAATCTTCAGAAAACAGTAGCAAGCTTTTCCTGCTGGTTTTAGTAGGAAGTAGGTGGTTTGCAAACATACAAGGAGGTAGTGGTGATCTCTGGACCCCAAATATCCACTCAGTCATCATTCCCCATTTGCTAGGGTTGTTACTCATCCCTCTTATATAGCGTAGTGTGGTTGATTGTGATCTGGAATTAGTTCTAAGTTTGGTAGATTCCTAGCTAAAAGTACTTTTCAATCTAAAGAATTTTCTTTTTAAGCAGTAAATTGAAGAGTTCATCTCTATATGAACTTAATCCATTCAGAACCAAATCTATATTACTTACAGTTGTCATAAACCTGGGGGATTTGTGCGGTAACAGAGTCAGAACCTAGATATTCAGAGGATTGAATTATGTAAGTGAAATTTCAGAAGGGTAGATGTAAAACCTTACCAGTTAGGTGAAGGAAGAATAGCCGCTCTGAAGACCAAGTGGGGGAATCCTGACCTGTACCCCCCTTGTATAGAAAAGAAGTCAGGATTATAGTGATTCCAGGCTGAATGGGAATCCAGAGAGTAATCTGGCTGCCAGTAAATCTAATGCTACCTTTAAGTGCCTTAAAAAAAAAGTCCAAATAGGGGTGGCTCAGTCCGTTAAAAGCGTCTGACTGTGATCTTGGAGAGATCAGGAGATTGAGCCCTGCATCTGGTTCTGTGCTGGGCGGGGAGCCTGCTTAAGATTCTCTCCCCCACTCCCTCTGCCCCTGTTCCATCTTCCTCCATTTATGCTTTCTCTCTCTCTCTCTCAAAAAAAAAAGTCCCAAGTAGTAATTCCATTGTTTTTCTGTTAATCACATTTATTTCCTTGGTTATCTTCATGGTAGCTTCATGCATATATTTATCCTTTGTTCATCTTTTGCAAATATGATAATCTAAGTGATTATACAGATATTCATTTAGTCATCAAATGTTAATTGAGCATGTATTTTATGTGAGTCGCCAGATGATGACTCACTTTACAGGAAAAAATAAGTATATACAAATACGTACACATGATTATTTGTACAAATCATATATGTAAATGATTATAAGGTGGAATATGATACATACTACCAGGTGCTATGGCAGTTCAAACCCTCATGAAGGATGGATCTTAAAGAACTGGAACAAACAGGTAAATGCAGAGATCGTTCTAGGTATAAAAGAGGCACATGCAAATTTGCAAAGGCATGAAACCTGAAACATGGCGTGGCTCAGTCAATAATAATTATTTTTTAAAAATTTTTATTTATTTATGATAGTCACAGAGAGAGAAAGAAAGAGAGGCAGAGACATAGGCAGAGGGAGAAGCAGGCTCCATGCACTGGGAGCCCGATGTGGGATTCGATCCCAGGTCTCCAGGATCTTGCCCTGGGTCAAAGGCAGGCGCCAAACCGCTGCGCCACCCAGGGATCCCTCAATAATAATTCTTATTCAGAATGGCTGGTGTATGTGTATATGTGTGTATATATATATATATATATATATATATATATATATATAATAAGTTAGATAGCATTCTTGCGCCAGTAGTGACAATTGTATACCACGCTAAAAAAAAGTTAGAATTTACACTGTCAATTTTAGGCATTTGGGAGCAACCAGAAATTAAGTGACAATGTGAAATTGCTTTTGAAAAACAGAACTGACAGTAATGCATTAGACTTCTTTGCAAACCTCTTATTTAATCCTTGCGGTTGAGCTCTGAGTTGGGTCACATTGTTATCCTCATTTATGGATGAGGAACTGAAGAAAAGTTAATCACTCAAGGTCAGAAGCAGAAGTCTCCTTAAGCCCTGACATACCTAACTAACCCTGAAGCCAGCGCTGTCAGCACCTTGATGTACTGCTCGTAGTTGGCATGAGTGAGGGGGTGAAAAGAGGGGAGAGGGCGTTCAGGCAGGAAAGGTTCTATGTTCTTGCGGTGCTTAGGGACCTGCAAGGCATAAGGACGGGTCCTCTGTTGTTTCAACTAATCTGTTGTACATTAATCATGTAACAAATTTCATCTGTACTGTTATCCTGCACGTTAGAAAGCCTTCTTCTGTGCATAGTTTTGGTTAATGAGCTTGACTCTTCTTTTTACCAGTTCCTTGGGACCGAGCGCATTGAATGCCATCGGGAACGCAGCATCAGTTAAACGAAAAGAATCTTCCCGGAGCTCAGCTCAGTCAAAAGAAAAGAAAAAAAAGAAATCTGCCCTCGACGAAATCATGGAGGTATAGTTTACGAGCTGCTTATTGACGTTTTAGCAGTTAGAGGAATGGCATAATTCAAACTAAGGAAAGTTAAATAGTCTCCTAGTGCTTGGATTAATGTAAAGTCAGAAAATGTATACAGGCTAGGTTAGTGGGAGGGAGTCTGGATGCAGTTCCATCTGAGCAGAGTTGGAACCCCTCGTCACAGGTTTATTTTCCTTCCTTGAGTGCTGCCTTCAGAACTCTCCATGTGTTCATGGTCACGGACTTTGGTGGTCCATGAAGCTAGAAATGAAACCCTTGTTCCCCTTCTGTGGCTCTGTGAAATTGGCATCCTCCGTGGATTCCTCCCACCATCCTGTGCTCTCCTCTTGCCTCTGACTTCCGTGGGCCACCTCCTAGCCAGCAAGAGGAAGCTATGACGTATTTTGAATTTGACTTAACCTAATGGCTAAGCCTATATGATGAATCCTTGAAAACCTGTGATTTAGAATCGAGGACCATTCTTTGGCTCTAAATCTACGTGCACATTAAGAGCAGTTCTAAATCTTCCTCTCTCTGTTTCCACACATAGCCTTATCAATACGTTTATGAAGTAAGTAGAAAGATTAAGGACAGGCAAAGAGAAAAGAAATGGATATAAGAACTGACTTGTTTTTCCTGTAATATCATTCCTCTCGTCTCCCCAACCCTCCCCTCATTTCTGAAGGGATAGAGACAGCTGTTTGGTGTTCCCCATTACTGGGTGCTCTTACAAGGCCGAGCGGTCTAACCCATATAGAGTATAATATGAAATATGTATACTAGAAAGTGTGGTCGCTCCATCACTGAGCAAATACTGAGTGGCTCTTCTGTGCCGGGCATTGTGTGAGGTCCTGTGTTGTTGTAGCAGGGAGAAACCTATGTGTCACGGGGCTTTCAGTCTGGTAAGAGAGGTGTTCCCCAAACAAGTGAACCAGTGAGTAAGTTATTACAAAATGCCAAGTGCTAGGGGGACCTAAGGGCAGGCCATGGGGGATAGCTTGTGAAGAGGTACCAAGGCAGGAAAGGTCGAGTTCAGCATCTTAAGGAAAGATCCACATGGCTGGAGCATGGCGATTACAAGAGTAAATGCCATTTGCAGTTTGATAGAAAAGTAGAAACATCTTAGACGTCTCGATAGGCCACAACAGGGAGTCCCTGAATCTAATTCAAAGTAAAATGGGAAGCCAGATCTGCCCCCTACCTTTGTAAAACCTGCTAAATTTAGAATGTTCTTTGCTACATTGGAAAGCTGGAGAAATTTAAATGGAATTTATTATCAACCAAAGGATCATGGTGGTTTGATCCATTGAAAGTTGGTACTTAGGGTTCACTTAAGGCCTCTGAGAAAGAAAAAGGTGTATTTCCCGCCAGACAGCACTCTTTCCTTGGACACCCTTTTGCTTATATCTCTCATTATATTTTTCTTGCCCTACATTCACAAGATTTATTATCCTTCTCAAACAGAGAAGCCCCTTTTTGCCATCAGACTGTGCAAAATTAGTTATAAGTGTGTTTTTACCACATGAAAATGTTGGCGGGTTTTCCAGCTTGTAACAGGCACATGGGGGGAAGCAGGGAGAGGGTGTTATAGCACTGGCACGAGGCCTTGCACTGTCAACTAAGTAGAGGTTGCTCATGTTTATTTTCTTGATCAGTTGACATGCTTTATCATATAATTTTGTAAATCCAAGTGTGTGTGGATTTTTTTTTTAAAAGATTTTATTTATTTATTCATGAGAGACACACACAGAGAGGCAGAGACACAGGCAGAGGGAGAAGCAGGCTCCATGCAGGGAGCCCGACGTGGGACTCGATCCCGGGTCTCCAGGGTCATGCCTATGTGTGGGTTTTTTTAAAAGATTTTATTTATTTATTTATTTATTTATTTATTTATTTATTTATTTTTATTGGAGTTCAATTTGGCAACATATAGCATAACACCCAGTGCTCATCCCATCAAGTGCCCCCCTCAGTGCCCGTCACCCAGTCACCCCACCCACCTCCCTTTCCACCACCCCTTGTTCGTTTCCCAGAGTAAGGAGTCTATCATCCCATCAAGTGCCCCCCTCAGTGCCCGTCACCAAGTCACCCCACCCACCTCCCTTTCCACCACCCCTTCCTTGTTCGTTTCCCAGAGTTACGAGTCTCTCATGTTCTGTCTCTCTTTCTGATATTTCCCACTCATTTTTTCTCCATTCCCCTTTATTCCCTTTCACTATTTTTTATATTCCCCAAATGAATGAGACCATATAATGTTTGTCCTCCGATTGACTTATTTCACTCAGCATAATACCCTCCAGTTCCATCCACGTCGAAGCAAATGGTGGGTATTCATCGTTTCTAATGGCTGAGGAATATTCCACTGTATACATAGACCACATCTTCTTTATCCATTCATCTTTCGATGGACAACGAGGCTCCTTCCACAGTTTGTCTCTTGTGGACATTGCTGCTAGAAACATTGGGGTGCAGGTGTCCCGGAGTTTCATTGCATCTGTATAAAGATTTTATTTTTAAGTGGTCTCTACACTCAACGTGGAACTCAAACCCACAACCCCAAGATCAAGAGTCACACACTCTACCAGCTGATCCAAATGGGTGCGCCCCTCCCCAAAGTGGTTTTTTTTTTCTTTTAATCAAAAATTAATTGCAAAAAGTGTTTATTTGTATTTGTCAGAGCTTGTAAATTCCACGGATCTCTTTTTGAGGTATATGTTTTATGCTAGTCTTTCGCTACATAGAATGGTATTTGAAATAATTGGAGGATTTTAAAGAGCGGATTCTATGAATGTCTTCTGTGTTCTACAGATTGAAGAGGAAAAGAAAAGAACTGCCCGAACAGACCACTGGCTACAGCCGGTACGTACTCAGCTGGAGCTTCTTAAGTCCTGAATGCTTTTAAAAAAGTGAATAATGTAAAGAGCATTTGGGATAAATGACTGAGTTTCTCAAATATACTTAAATTGTATGGATATATAACTTTCATGACTTTTCTTTTTATCTGATCTTAACTGATCAGTTGCACCTGTATTGGAGAATTACTTCACCTTTACAGGCTGGTCAGATTTCTTGAGTTTAATGTCAGATTTGTTTGTGGACATCTTGAATTTAAGCCTGGAATTATTTCCAATTTTTGCTCTATGACAAGGGTTGTGTTATCAGAAATGGGACTGAAAGGTGAAATCGTGAATGTCAAAGTTATTTGTTTTCAACTTATAGCTTATTGAACTTGAAATCTCTCTTTAGGTACTTTGTCAAAAAAGCCAGTTTTAATTTTACAAACATCAAGTAAAGCTTTGTATTTTATCGTGTATTTATTATTGTTGTTATTATAAGCTAATAATTTTAAAACATTTAAATAATTTTTAAAAAGTATTACTTCTTGATGCTCTGTCTTGAACTTAGATGTAAAGTTTTCATAAGACGCTCAGGATTCCTTCATTAAAGCTCCTGAAAGAAGCTGGTTTGATCAATAATAGGAGACTGAAAAGTAGTGAGAGTGTGTCATTTAGATCATTTTGATTCAGAAAGTAAGATTAATAATAACCTTGAAGGTCAAGAAATCCCACATTCTCAATCACATTTTCATTGTCCTGCTTCTTCTAAGCTTGAAAATAATTTTGTTTCCATATCTTAGTTTGTGGTCTTCTACATGGGAGGCATTTCTTTCCTGAAAGAGCTTTCCCGAAACCGCAAGTTGGCATCCCCTGAGACTCTATTATGTTGTAAAAAAAAAAAAAAAAAAAGAAGAAGAAGTTAAAAATTCCCAGGTTTTGAGGGACTGAGCACAATTTCTGGAGCTTTCTTTCCAGCGTAGATTACATTTGCTGTTTCCTGTGTACCTTTTTGGCCATGACAGTTTTATGCCTGAGCTCAGTGTATCCCAAACTTCCTGTACGGTTGCTTTTTGTTGCTGGCGGCACCAGCTAGGTCAAGGTGGGGGGCCTCGTCTCACATTCCTTACGCCCAGGTAAATGCAGAGTCATTTAGAGTCTGTGATGTTCCAGAAAATCCATGGCCATGAGAAGGATCAGGAAGCAAGTTAGCTAATGTGAAAATACTTGCTGTGTTAAATAGGGAATGAGTCCTCTTACATCAATCCTATAAGGTAATTCCTGTTATAATTCCCATTTTATAGGTAAGAAAAGAGGCATAAAGCATTTGAGTAATTTCCCGAAGGCCATAAGTAAGCACTGAGTCAGGATCTCCCTGGCAATCTGATTCTGTAAGGTTGTGATTTCAACTGGTCAACAGTACTGCTTCCTGGGTTGTGTCAGGCCCCCTGTTTCCCCATCTCTGAGTACAGGTTTAGTCAAGATTAGTAAAGGGTGGGTCTGAAGGGAGGAAACCACCCATGTTTTGTTTTGTTTTCTCCATTCCAGTAGCTAGCATTTGAATTTTTTTTTAAGATTTTATTTATTTATTTCAAAGAGAGAGTGCACAAGCAGGGGGAGGGGCAGAGGGAGAAGCAGGCTCCCTGCTGAGCAGAGAACCCAATGCAGGGCCCCATCCCAGGACCCCAATATCATGATGTGAGCTGAAGGCAGATGCTTCACTGACTGAGCCCCACAGGAGTCCCACTTAGCATTGAATATAAATAGTTTGATTATTGTTTATGAAAATGTAATCAAGAATTTTGCTGAAAGCAGTCATTCTTACTGTAGAGAAATTCACAAATTCTTAGAGAAGTGTTTTTTCCAGGTTAGATATTTTACTACTATTACTGTCTAGTCTCCTGTAGCGAAATGCATATTTTCACCATCCTCCTGGGTGATTCTGATGTGCCCTTCATTGGTTTAAAGGAAAAAGAAAACCAAAAGAAAAAAAAAGAAAGAAAGCATTACAAGTTTTAATTAGTCCAAGAATTTTCTTCCCACTGATAATACTTTCAGTTATATTCTATGTTTGATAATTTTCTCATAATAAATTATTCCCGTTTTTTTTCCTGGTTCCTTCTACAGAGTATTACAGTAAAAATGAGGATCATCCAACAGTTGCTCTGATGACCCTGTGTGTCACTTACGTTGAAATGGTCAATATGTTTTTTTTTTTTTAAAATGGTCAATATGTTTGTTAAAATAACCAGCAGTCCACACAGATAGATTGGAGAGCTTTATGTTTAAACTCAGAAAAGAAATACTTTGAACAGATCTATTGCATGAGCAAGTGTCAGTAAGCCCAATGATGTAATGAGTTAGCTCCAAATAATGAGCGTGTACCCATGAGGGCCTTTGAGAAACTCAGCCCGGAAATACTCTGGCTAAATCAGAGAAGCTGTTTGGCATTAGTTGGCTTCATTTAGAAAGTCTTAGATTCTTGGGCAACCCCTCTTGGGTCACCCCCCTTTTTAGGAGCTTAGTACTATCACTCAGTAAATTTGCTTTGTTATCATTTAATAAATCTTGCTTTGCTGTCCAGTAGGGGGAAAAAACAAAACAAAACCTTAGAGACTTAAGAATAAGACCATTCACGTTTTCTCTTAAATACGTTTTTCTGCTATAATATATCCTCCCCCCAAATCCTTACTGAATTTTGATTCATAATATTTTTAGACTGGCTTACTGTGACCATCTAGTACCTCTGTTACATTCACTTGAAGTAACAAATACAGAATCACTACAGTGACTGTAGCATTAAGTCAGGATTGAATTTTCATGATCAGCCGTTAGCTCGTCTAAATCAGGAAAATGATGATAAAGAACCAAACTCAGAATGCATTAATATGAAATAAGCCAAGATTTCTCTCCCATTTGAGAATTAGATGTTCAGAGGAACGATACTTTTAGCCGAAGCTAATCTGGGAAAATCCAGTCTGTATCAAAAATTCAGAGTAACATAATGAGAAAAGAACATTGTGGAAAATGTCATGCGTGAGCTCAAAGACTCAGTTCCTTGCGATTCCCAGTGAGACATGCCATCTGAGTTTTTATCAGCAGCGAACACCAGCAGTGTAATATCTTCGGCCCTTTTCACTTCCTTGAATGAAGAGAGAGAAAGAAGTTATTTGTGAAAGAAGTGGATTCATAGGGTCGAGATTGGCAAATAAAAGTCCTAGATTTCAAGAGACCTTCAGTGTCGAAATCAGCCTTGAGGCAGGTACTGTCTTCCCTCTTGGTAGTCATGTTGAATAAAGGGAGAAAGAAGAAATAAAACATCACTACGGGAATGCTCTGCCATAATTGGGAAGGCTTAGAACTCCAGAATTTCCTATTTAGCAGAGCAGTTTACGTTTTGGCCGTGATTCTTGGTGAACGTGATTTAAAGCGAAGGAGTAAACTCGAAAAGATGATTTAGGTCTTTTCCTTTCATCTTTATTTTCTCGTTGTTGTTATTTTCTAGGAAATCATCGTGAAAATTATAACCAAAAAACTTGGAGAGAAATATCATAAGAAAAAGGGTGTTGTTAAGGTAAGGACGGGAGACTGGGAATGGAATTTGTGAAGAGCTAGTGACTGGCGGAGTCAGGCCATTTTGGTGTCCCTGAAAAATCAAATCCTCAGGGCGGGAGACTTGTGTCTGAGGTGCCTGATGGTTCATGAAAGGAAAGTGAATTCATAATTGTTGGGAAAATGATTCATTTCACAACAACATAGTTTATATTTAACTTTGGTGCTTCCTTACTGGAGCAAACAGTATGTATGAAATCCCAATGGTGCAGCTTAAACTCGCTCACTCACTGTGATGCCTTGCCAGTCAGTGAGATGCAGCCTCTTTGTTAACCATGGGCAGTATGATTAAGTCCCCAGAGTTCCAAGGACGACTCCCTTGTTGTGTTTTGCCTGAGAGACTTCTAGCTGCCCTAGGATTTTAAAATTTAAAAATCTTCGCTCCAGTCCTCACTGCCATTTCTAAATCATTCCATTCTGGCACCCAGCATTGTGCATGCACAAATGCCCTTCTGTTGTACTTGAAGCTCGGCATTCTTCCTCTCACTGTGTTTGCTGAAGTTCTATTGTAAGGTCACCAACCATTATTTTATTCTTTACAGATGAAAAACTTTGCTAAGTCTTGCATTGCATTCTTTATTAGGAAGCATAGAATCACTATATCGTATACCCGAAACTAATAGAACACTGTGTATTAACTCTGCTGAAATTTAAATTTAAAAACGTAATAAGGGGATCCCTGGGTGGCTCAGTGGTTTGGCGCCTGCCTTTGGCCCAGGGCGCGATCCTGGAGTCCCGGGATCGAGTCCCGCATCGGGCTCCTGGCATGAAGCTTGCTTCTCCCTCTGCCTGTGTCTCTGCCTCTCTCTCTCCCTATGTCTATCATGAATAAATAAATAAATAAATCTTAAAAAAAAATAAAAACGTAATACATTTTTTTAAAAATTAAAAAGCACAGAATGAGAAGTCGTATATGGAATCTATAAAATAGTGTCATTTATAGCAGGAGTTGCTCTTACCTTTTGACTGGAATTTCGTTTGTTTTCATCTTAACCTATTTCTGTCCTTTGAAATTTGTGTGCACTTATTTCTGCTATTATAAAAGTGTTGATTTCACATGACAGGAAGTAATTGACAAATATACAGCTGTTGTAAAGATGATTGACTCTGGAGACAAGCTGAAACTTGACCAGACTCATTTAGAAACAGTAATTCCAGCACCAGGTAAATCTTTTTGCAGACCATTTAATGTCTATCCTATTAAAATTGGTGATTCCATCCTTAAAACCAGGGTTTCTCAACACTACCTAACAGTTATAGACATGGATTTCCTTTCTAGAAATTTGTAGGTGCCAGTAGAACTGATGTGCTTCATTTCAGGTGACAAGATAGTTTACCAGTCCTCTGTGAAAGCTGTTTTGTGGTGTGAATAAATTTCCCCTTCCTGGAATCCTTTTTTTTTTTTTTTTCCTGAAGCAAAACACAAACTCATAAGGAAAAAAATATCAGTCATACTCTGGTTGTTATTAATATATTTCTTTGGTTACCTAAGATGGTAAAATAAAATTCAGTATTGTTTTGCTTTTTCTCTTCCTTAATTGTCTTTATCATTTAAGTACTTCTAAATATCTAGTATGAATGCTACCTTGTTTAGGTGGTTTGCCTCTGACCTGAAGCCTTCATAACGGTATCATCGCTGGCACTAGTGGTAGTGTTAGTCTGTATAAAACTTCCACTTATCAGATCATTTATTCTTTCCTCCTAAAATAAAACTCATTTTATGGCTTAAAAAAATTTTTTTTCAGCTTTAGTGAGATATAATTGACATTCAAAAAGCTGCACTTGTATAAAGTATACAGTTTGATCAGTTTTAACCCATGAATACTCTTGCAAAACCATCCCTACGATGGAGCTTACCAGTGTACCCATCACCTCCCTCCCCCCCAGTTTTATCACTGCCCTTTATCATCCTTCCTTGCCACCCCTCCACTCTTGCCTCCCATGTTCCCCGGGGCAACCACTTGTGTACTTTCCATCACTATAGAAAAGTTTATATCTGTCTAGAATTTTATATGAATGAAATCATACTCTGTGTCCTGATTTTTTGCCTGGCATCTTTCATTAAGCGCAACTATTTTGGATCCCTGCATGTTGTCACATCATGTGTAGCTTCTTTCTGTTGTGAAGTAGGGTTTCACTGTATGGATGTACCACTTTTCATTTAGTCACCTCTTGATAGACACTTCAGTTGGTTACAGTTTTTTGACCATTACAAGTAAAACTTCCAAGAACATTCACACACAAGTCTTTATATGGACATAGGGTTTCTTTTCTATGGGGAAAATACTTAGAATGGCTCACTCAAGGCAGGATATGTTTAACTTTTTATGAAACTGCCAAACCATCCTGTGATTTTTAAAAAGAGGCAAAGTGAGGCGCCTGGGTGGCTCAATTGGTTAAGTGTCTGACTCTTGATTTTGGCTCAGGTCATGATCTCAGGGTCCTGAGATCAAGCCCTGCATCAGGCTCCATGCTTAAGATTTTCCGTCTCCCTCTGCCCCTCTCCCCTCTGCTCACACACCTCTCTCTCTCTTAAAAAAAAAAAAAAAAAAAAAAAAAAGCCAAAGTAAGCTAATTTTTCTTTTCTGATTATTTCTGGACCCTAAGTACCTTCTACTTGCAATCTAAGGCTAAAATGTATCCCTTTGACAAGTGAAAAAAACCATGAGGATTCCTATAACATTACAGTCCTGAAGGCACCTACAGACTCTCCTTTAGAATATTAGAGTTCTAAAAGGATTAAGGACTTTTAAGAGGGTGTCGTTCAGTGTAACTGCACTTTGCTGTAACAAGGTAGAAGAAAAAAGTGAACGTTTCTTTGCGTTCAGTGTGATATTCTCTTCTACTGCAGGAAAAAGAATTCTTGTTTTAAATGGAGGCTACAGAGGAAATGAAGGCACCTTAGAATCCATCAATGAGAAGACTTTTTCAGCTACAATAGTCATTGAAACTGTACGTACATTTACACAAAGAATTTCTAAATGCTTTAAAAAGATGCCATAGGTCCTTTTCATTGGGTTGGTCTTTGTTTTATTTTAGAGTCTGGGTTTTTTTGTTTGTCTTCTCTCTATATGGAAATCTGTAAGCTTAGTTTCTGTAATGACTCTGCCCTTGTAAAGTATTTCGTTTCCGGATTTCAAAAGAAACGCATGTGTGCCTTAGTCCACGCGAGCTGCTGTAACAGAATGCCATAGACTGGGTGGCTTAGAAGCAAATCTGGTTTTCACAGGTCTGAGGGCTGGAAGTCCCAAGAACAAGGCACTGGCAGATTTAGTGTCTGCTGAGGGCCTGCTTTCTGGCTCCTGTGTCCTCACATGATGGAAGCGACAAAGGAGCTCTCCAGGGTCTTTATAAGGGCACCAGTCCATTCATGAGGGCCCCACCCCCACGACCCCATCACTCCCCAAAGGCCCCACCACCAAATACGGTCCCATTGGGCGTTAGGTGACAGCCATGAATTCTATTGGGAGGGGGGGAGGGGACGACACACTCGGTCTACAGCAATATTCATTGTGTAAAACCTGAAAAGGTCAATTGAATACAAATAACTTTAAAAATTACCCATAATCCCCTGGCCAGATAACTCCCTTTAGTATTTTGACCTGCTCCTTTCCAGTCTGTATTTTATAAAATTGTATGCGGTATGTTCAGTTTCACATCTCAACTTTTTTCCCTCACATGTAATATAAAACTCAATCTGGCATGATATATAATTAGTGGGGAATATAGAGGCAGAATTAATGGAGGAAGAGCCCTTATTTTAAAGAGTCCTTCCCTTCTTTCATAAAGGGCTAAAGGTAGTGGAGTCAATAAAGTAATTTAAGGAAATCTGATGTGCAAGTCCTTGCTGCAGAGCAGATGGCTCACGGACAGGTCTGCAAGTGTGGCCCAGTGAAGCCTGAGGTGTCTTCTGGGGGGAGGAAGGGCCTGAAACAGGCTTTCCCCCAACCATATAATGCATTTTGAAACTTCAGGCAATGGTGCTGTGACTCTTATGAATCCTTTTACATCCAGTGCAGTAAGTTAGCACTTGGGGGGATAATAGACCCTCGGAGAGTCTGAGGACCCTCCTGAGCCCTCTCTAGAACTTACAGTAATTGCCCAATTTCATGTGTGGTGTTGTAGGCACCTAAACCCATCTCTGGACTACGTTTGGAAAAATCATGTAGGTCGTTACCTGAGAGAAACCACATTTAAATGAATTGAGCATTTTTTTTCTGTCCCTGACAACATGAACTTAAAAACTATCACTAACTAACATAAACTATAAGAGAAGGAAAGGAAGGAGCATCTCCTGGTACTGAGACATTTACTAGTCTAATTAAATTAATAGATTGAGGTTCTTTTTTAATTAAAACTCAGTTTTTCTCTCTGTCTCAGTCAGTATAACGTCATGGAAAATCTCATATTTCCTTGGTAAAATGATTCTCCTGCACTTTGTATATTCTCCAGTTTAGATCCTGCTTCAATTCATGCTTTCATCTCAGGCAATGCAAAACGTCTAATCAGCATGGAGGACATTCTAGGCTCCGTCCAGGTCCCTTTGGGTCGCAGTCTGGTTTTCGCGGGCCCATTCTTTGCTCCCTCGCTGTGACCCGAGCTGCTCCTTCCTGAGCTTGCATGCCGTACAGAGCTGAACTGAGGCAGGAGCTAGGAGGACACCCACATAACAGGCCTGCTTGCCTGCAAAGCAGCGTGTACTTTTAAGAGATCCACCTGCTTCTTTACTTTTCTTTCACACCTTCCCCCAATTTAAAAATAATCTGTTTGCATTTGTGTGTCCACTTAGCTGTGTCCCCACAGTTCCTTTACATCATTGCCATGAAACACATGAACTTTCCAAATGATTTCTCCCACTAGTTTATCATTTCTGGTGTCTAAAATTGTGGCATCAGTATCAAAATATTTGAAATTTACTCATTTAATAAGCAGATTTTTAAATATTCCACAAATTTTTTAAAAACAGTCTAAGCCTTTTACCTTAGCTGTTTGCCTAATTAACCAAATGACTGGCTCCCTTATTCCCCAGCTTTGTATTCTTACCAGAAAAGCATACTTGTCCACAGGCCTTTACGCTTGGTAACAAAAGATCCAACCTGAGTCATGCTTTATCTGGGAACTTAGCTCCTTTAAACACAGTCATTATTACATATTAAAGGAGTAGCATTTTAAAAAGGATTATGAAGGAGAGGTATGATCCTCAATAAAAAGTTAAAATCTCACTTCAAGGTGAGAGTCATCATCATCATCATTTTATATTTTGCAGGAGAGAGGACCAGCTTTCAAATTTTAACCAGAAGATTTAATAAGAGCCAAGAATTTTTGAGCTCCTACTCCTTTTATGCTCCAGATATTATTCTAACTTCATTGACTCATTATATTTCCCAGCAGCCCAGTAACTGAGATCCTATTATTATTCCCCTCAGGGGATGGTGGGGCACCAAAGGGTCGAGTCACTGGCTGAGGATGGTATTTGAACTCAGTCAGTCTGGGCTCGGGCCACATTCTTGCCTCTGTGCTCCCAGGTGGTGTCCACTTCTGTGACAGCTGTTCTTTCCCAATGTCCAGATTTCCCCTTTTCTCTTCTTTTAAACACAAACAGAAAAAGCAAATATGTTTAAAGTTGGGCTCATTTTCTGTAAGAAAGACCCTCCGAATTGTCAAAGCTCAACTATAAACACATTTGAATGGGAGTATCTGAATTGCTTAAAATAATATTCGCTATTGAAAAAGAAACCCCCAAATGGCACAAACACACACAACAGAATTTAACTTCTCATTCTAAAATCCAAAATGGGTGTTCTTGATCAGGGACTAGCTCTTCTCTGAGGAGTGGTTTGTGAGCCTGGCCAGGATCTTTCCAGCTCGTGTCTCCATCACCTTCAGCAAGTGGCTATTACAGTTGCCATGTTCATGTGCTTCAGATGGGCCCCAGGGACTGTGGCAGGCTGTGTGTGAGGACAGCATGGCCTGGGCCTGGAGGTGGCGTGTGTCACTTCTGTTCAACTCTGTGGCTGGAGCTCCATCCTGTGACCACATCTCACCACACAGGGAAGCAGGGACAGTGTCCAGTGGGCAGGGGACATGCCCAACAGCTAGCAGGTCCCAGCTGCAACATGTCGTGATAACACATTTCACATGTCCCGAAGAAGTCATGGCACTTCTTAATGACTATGCCATAGAATATTTTAAAATTCATACTCCCATAAAAATGTTGGCTACCCTAATGGTATTAGAGGGAGGGGTATGGAAAAGGCATAGATGGATCTTTAAGAGTAGTGTCATTTTCTTGTCTTTTAAGTACTTGTGTATTTTTAATCTTTTTTTCCCCATTTGTTTTAACTTGTAGGGACCTTTAAAAGGACGCAGAGTTGAAGGAATTCAATACGAAGACATTTCTAAACTTGCCTGAGTTTGAAAATCTTTTAACACATTAAAATCCTAAAGCATCAAATTGGTGTTCACCAAGGTATTATGAGACTCTACTGTGTTAGGGTGTTTCTTTTGTATAAAGCAAATGGAATTATTTAAATATTACTGTATAGTTGTTCAGCAAAGCTTATAGCAAAATCTAATTATGTCTCACGAAGTATCAGAACAATGTAATTTTGTTCGTGTTTTGTTTCCTTTGTAATATTTCCTTAATGATTTTTTAATCTTCATTAAAATAATGTTATTGAAAACTATTTTATATAAGATTTAGAACCCTGCAGTTAAAGGAAATTCTTCATATACTCTATATTTTCTGTAGTAAAGTGGTAAAGTTGAACTATAAATACAATTACACTTTTTAAAGTCAAACTATAAATAGAGTCACAGCTTTATTGAGATAGAGCTCACACACCATATAACTTTGCCCATTTAAAGTGTACAATTCAGCGGGTTTTAGTATATTTATGGAGTTGGGCACCCGTCCCCTCCACTGTTTAATTTTAGAACATTGTCATCACTGCAGAAAGACACCTGTGCTCATGGTCACTCTCTGTCCTCCCTCAGGCCTTGGCACCCACTAGTTTACTTCTGGTTTCCATGATTTTCCTGTTCTGGGCATTTCACATCAGTGGAATTGTACAACCTATAGTCTTTTTATGATGAACTTCTTTCATGCAGCATCATGCTTTCTAGGACCATCCACATCCGGGCACAGATCAGTACTTCCCTCCTCTTCCCTGCTGCACCGTAGTCCACCATATGGGTAGGCCACACTTTTAAAATCCATCTGTCAGTTGATGGGCATTCTGGCTGTTTCTGCTTTGGCCTGTTGTGAGCAATGCTGCTATCTGAACTTTCATGTACCAGGTCTTCTGTGGACATACGTTTTCAGCGCCTGGGGATGGAGTCGCTGAGGTTTCCTGTAACTCATGATACCATGTTTAACATTTTGAGCAGTCCATTTTACAATCCCATCAACAATGTGAAACTATACATTTTTAAATTATAGAGCCAAAGGGATGCCAAAGAAAGGAAATGCACCTCATAGTTGGATTATGAAAAAGAATTTAACAAAATAAATGTACAGTTCACATGACAAAAGGAGCGGACCTTAGCTTCCAGTAGGGTTCAGAGAGTATCAGGGCTTGGTCTCTACCACTCTTCCTTTCTCTGTGTTGGCTCCACTCTCAGTCCCTCACACCAGGAAGTGTATCCCTGGCTTCACATCTTACTTTTCTCCCACAGTTTTTTTTTTTTTTTTTTTTTAAGGTTTTATTTATTTATTCATGAGACACACACAGAGAGAAGCAGAGACATAGGCAGAGTGAAAAGCAGGTTCCTTATGGGGAGCCCAATGTGGGACTTGATCTCAGGACCTCGGGGATCATGACCTAAGCCAAAGGCAGATGCTCAACCACTGAGCCACCCAGGAGTCTCTCTCCCACAGTTCAAACAGAAGATCAGAATTGAGGTTTAACTGGTCCACACTGGGACAAATCACTCCAAATGCAAGGGTTGGACTATCCTGATTGGCCAGACTTGGGTTGTGTTCCAGCCTCTAGGCCATCTGTCTTGGACTTAGCCACAGGGAGAGGCGATAAATTCTCTTGTCAGAAAGTAGGAGAATATGTGCTGGGAAACAAACAGAAGACAGCATAAGAAATAGTAAGGGGATGATCCCGATACCTTTTACCAACACGACTTCAGGATGAATTCAAGTGTGTCTGAACTAACTTGACAGCATAGGAACATGAAAAGGAGCTGAGTTTTGGAGTTGAGCAGGCTTCCAGTAGCATTTTGGCTGTTCTGCTCACCAGCTATGTCATCTTAGAAATGATCATGTTCTTGAATTTCAGTGTTTTTAATGTTTTAATTGTCAAAAAAAAAAAAAAAAAAAGCATCCCAGCAGGGTTGTGAGAACTACAGAGAATACATAGTGTCAGATGTGGTGGGCACTGATTCAGTAATGGAGACACACATCTGTGGCCTGGCCTGGAGAGTTTCAGGAGGGAGAATGGTTCTCCCCGATAATAATATTAGTAAACCATGACAGATTTCACATGTGTCCTCCCCCAGATCTCTAAGTTTGGAATCCCCTCCCTGGTTTTCTTCATAGGAAAAAATGTTTCCTCCCTACCTCCCATATTTTAACTATTTTCCCCAAAATATTCCTGAAATTATCTCAGAATGAAAATAAGTAGCATAATCGAGGTAGCTCTTAACTTTCAAAAATCTGAAGTACAAAAATATGATTCTAGGCGACAGGACGTTTTTCCCTATAAGTTCTTAAGAGGCCAGTAGTGGTTACATTACACAAAGTGGCTGCAGACACCTAATATCAAGTTTCATATGGACTTTTTTTTCTTTTCAAAGCATTGCAAGCTACTTTTCTTTACACAGACTTTTTTTTTTTTCAGAGCAATTTTAAGCTCACAGCAAAATTCAGCAGAAGGTACAGAGATTTCACATCAATCCCCTATCCCCATCCATGCACAACCTCCCTCACTATTCACATCCCCCGCCCAGGTGGCACATTAGTTATAATAAACCTATGATAATGATTGACACATCGTCCTCATCCAAAGTCCTTAGTTTATATTTGTGTCACTATTGGTATTGTACATTCTGTGGATTTGGACACGTTGATAATGAAATGTAGCCACCGTTATAGTGTTATACAGAATAGTTTCACCAGCCTAACAATCTTCTGTGCTCTGCTGTCCATCCCTCTCTCCCCCCATTTCAACCCCTTGGCAATCATTAATTTTTTTTCCTATCTCCTTAGTTTTGCCTTCTCTGTAATGTCATATGGTTGGAATCCTATGCAATCTTTTCAAATTGACTTCCTTCACTTAGAAATATGCACATAAAGTTTCTCCATGTCTCTTCATGGCTTCATGGCTCATCTCCTTATAGCACTGGATAATATTTCTGGACATACCACAAGCTATGCATTTCCCCTACTGAAGGACATCTTGGTTGTTTCTAGATTTTGTGGATTATAAGTAAATCTGCTATAAACATCCATGCATAGTTTTTATATGGACAGGTTTTCAATTCAGGGTAAATGCCAAGGAGTGCAATTGCTGGATCATATGGTAAGAGTATGTTTACTTTTATAAGAAAATGCCAAACTGTCTTCCAAAGTGGCTGCGCCATTTTGCGTTTCCACCAGCAGTGATTGAGAGCTCCTGTTGCTCCACATCCTCTCCAGCATTTAGTGTTGTGAGGGTGATTTTTTGCCATTCTGATAGGTGTGTAGTGGTATCTCATTGTTATTTAAATTTACAATTCCCTATTGACATATAACATGGAACATCTTTTCATGTGCTTATTTGCCATCTGTGTTTCTTTGGTGAGGTGTCTAAGTCTTTTGCCCATTTTTTAATTGGGTTCATTTTCTTACTGAGTTTTTGTGGGGCTTTTCCTGGTCAAAGATTTTTATTTCTTTGACAGAGAGAGAGCACTAGCAGGGGGAGCAAGAGTGGGAGAGGATAGAGCCCAACATGGGGCTCTATCCCAGGACCCCAGGAATATGACCTGAGCTGAAGGCAGAAGCTTAACCAAATGAGCCATCCAGGTGCCCCATTATTGTTGAGTTTTAAAAGTTCTTTGTGTATTTTGGATACCAGGCCTTTATAAGATATGTCTTTTGCAAACATTTTTTTCCCAGTATGTGTGGCTTCTCTTCTTATTTTTTTTTGAAAGCTACTTTTCATCATATCAATTGAGGTCATATCAAATTATCTCAATAGTGTCTTGGGAAACCAGATTCCCTGAGTTTTCTTCATTGGGCACGCCATTGGATCCTATTGCCTTCTCTGCTGCTTTTCTCCTGTCTACTTCTGTCTATCCATTTTTGCTTTCATACTTGAGTAAATTTATCCAACAAACATGTACCGAGTACCTCCCGTAAGTTAGCTAGCCATTGTAGTGGGTACTGGAGATGTGAGAAGTGGGTGTAGACCCAAGGTGCGTTGTTTAGAAATTGACAATGTTCAGTGAACTGATACTCAAGTGAAAGGATTGGCCAATGAAAAGAAACTTGATAGTCTGGGGCAGCTACTTAAAAATCCCCCCTAACTTTGCTGGGCCTTAGTAAGAGACCATTAACTGGTAACAGGATATACCTCAGTTCCTACTTTGCTAAAATAGACTCAAAGGATTAGAATATGAATCAGCCTTGAGTTGGTTTTAGAGTTGACGAAGTACCCCTAGAAACGTTAAGTGGATAACTGAATCATTATACTGTTAAAAGGAAGCATCCTTCATTTTTCTTTCTCCCACATGGATATTCCAGAAAAAGTCACCAGTATAGAGTTGGCCAGTGTGAAAAAGTCTTAATAATACTAAATTTTTACATCATTTTTATGTATCCAGCATATATATGAACATTATTTAAACGTTTTTATGTATGCAGGCAGCCAGGTAACTTCTACTCTGATCTTACAGGGTCTTTGGAGTGACTTCTATCTCTTTCAATTAGGAAAAGGCTGAAGAGAAAATGCTACTTTATATGGTATTAAGTGATCCTTTAAAGCATGCAGAATGATTTGTGTAAGATCTCATATCAGTATGTACTAAAATAGTTCCTGATTCTTAGTTCATTTTTACGACACATAGGAGATGATCTTTAATTTCCTTTTTTTCCAGTTATTTCTTTGATTTACCAATTATCCAGCTCTTAGAAAATTTATTAATTTTCAGTAATTTAAAAACACAACCAAACATATAAACTTATGGCAGAGATGCTGGTTTTTTTCAAACACAGGCTCTCATTTCCCTGACAATAAGATGTATATATTTGCTTGGTTTAATGGAAACTGTTTAGATTTATATTTATGAAGAGCTTTGAAGCTACGCTAGATGATAAATATCTATGACAGATAACAGCCTGTGATACTCTAGATGAGGTTTAAGGTGGATACCATTACTACATACAAAATTAAATACTGACCAATTCCCAGTGGGTTGCAAAGTGCTCCAAAGAACAAGCAAACATAATATAGGTAATTGTCAGGTTGTTTTCCTTTATTGCTGAAAGCATAATACTTTCAGAAACTAATCAAGAGGTAGACAGTGGAAGAGTTTCTTCCTTTCCAACTATCCCTGTTAATTTAGTTCTTTCATTTGAAATTCAAAATTGATTATCCATTTGTAACTCTAATGATACTGAGAAGGCATATTACTGGTCTCAATGGGGACACGTGGGCAGTATTAATGCAAGTTTAGTTTTATTATTCAAAACACCAGCTGTTAATAAAAGTTTTGATAATTTAATAACATGGATTTGACTTTAAATCTAGTTTATTTGATAGAACTCTTGTTCAACATCCTGCATATAAATGCACAGCCCAAGATCATCATTATTATTTTCAAAACTACAAAGCACATGTAAAGTACTAGGAATCAAACTAAACTTATGTATCTAAAGGTATAAAAGTCTTAAAGGTATAAAAGTTTTAAAGTCTAAATTTTGACCAATTTTTTCACCAAGTAACAGAATTAATGATATGAACCCACTTTTGAAGTTTGTGCTAATATGAGCATTTTTTTTATTTTTTTTTTAATTTTTATTTATTTATGATAGTCACACACAGAGAGAGAGAGGCAGAGACACAGGCAGAGGGAGAAGCAGGCTCCATGCACCGGGAGCCCGACGTGGGATTCGATCCCGGGTCCCCAGGATCGCGCCCTGGGCCAAAGGCAGGTGCTAAACCGCTGCGCCACCCAGCGATCCCTAATATGAGCATTTTAAGATCATTTTTGAAGTAGAAAGTGGGAAGGATACAGACTTTTTTTTAATGTATTGTTGGTAATCATAGATGAAGCTGAAAGGCTGTTTACCTCTTCAGCCCTGAGAAATACCACATTTCTTTAATATTTTACAAGTAAGGTAAAAGATAATCATTTGATTTTTCAAATAGAGGTCGGGTGTATACAAAAAGAGAGTTGTGTACTTTCTAAAATAAAAATGACTTCTACCAATTGTGGAGAGAAAGCTTCATAAAAATGTACCTTTAAACATCTTTTTAAGTACAGTTTTACCACTTTGGCCTTTGAAAATGTATCCTAATTCTAGGAATTGATTTTTATGGAAAGTACAGACTTTACAATGACTCAGATTTGCACCATACCGCCAAGATCCACCATATTCATGCAGACATAATGAAGTTGATTACTTGTTTATTTATTCTGCCTTTTAAACGTCATTAGCCTTTTGTGAGGACATAACTTGCTCATTAAAATTATTTTGAAACAAAGTCTAATCGTACAGGGTTTAAAATGTAAATGGCATTAGTCTCAGGAGTTGCTTAAATGCAAAAGGTCCGCAAGGAATACTCAGGAAGCCTCTGTGTTCAGAATCATTAAATCTGAGTGAAACGTGTGGCTTCCAGAGAATTTGGAACTCTGATGGTCTCAGAATTTATAGTAACTCAACACTGGGTGCAATTAGCCATGTGAGGTAATGTCCGGAGCGATTTTAAATATGTGCAGAATTGGGGAGCACCACAATCTCGGAGGTGGCCTGTCAGGGAGGCAGGACTGTTAGGGGAGATTGTCATTTAAGAGGCAGGTGCCTACCCCTCTGTAGTATATCTTATTTGGAGAATGGCTTTGAGAACAGAAAGAGGTTGGTGAGCTAAGGCCTTGCAGTGGTTTATTTTATGTGTGGCGACTTGGCTGGGTCATGGGACACCCACAGAGTTGGTCAAACATGATTTTGGGGTGTTTCTACAAAGGTGTTTTTGGGGTGAATTTTACGCTTAAATTCTAGACTGAATAGAACAGATGGCCTTCTCTAAGTGGGCCTCATCTAATCAGTTGAAGGCCTGCATAGAACAAAAAGGATGATCCTCCCCCTGCAAAGACAGAACTCTAACTGCCTGTGAATTTCATCTACAACACGGATACCTCCTGCCTAATGGCCTTCAAACAAAAACATCGGTTTTCCCTGGGTCTCCTGAGCCATCAGGCAGCCCAGCCTGCAGGTTGGACGCTACCAGCCTATATAACAATGTGAACAATTTGTTGTAATAACTCTCTCTCTCCCTATATGTATACATTTCTGTTTCTCTGGAGCACCCTGACTTACATAGGCTTTCATAGACGAAAAAGGAAAGCCAAGGCTGTCGAAGGAATCTTGGCTAACCATATTGGGCCATCCCAGGTACCGTGGCGAGTCTCTCCCAAGAACTGGTGACAGGGCCTTGGTATTTACAGCCACAGAACAATTAAGATCAAGTAACCTCCACGTTCTTACTCAATATTCGCCAAATAACCTTCTCCGAAAGGAACATCCCATGTACCTGACAGCATAAGAATGTACTCAGCCTACCTGACCCTTGAGAATAATGAGATCATCACAGTAAATGCCAAATTTCAGGCTGTGTCTGGATGCCAGTCTGACTCACCAAAGCAGCTTTCCTTTGCATGACCTTGATCAGCACATCTCAACATCGGAAAACTCAACAAAATCCTAGATCTTCTTTGCAAAGTATTTATTTTCTTCAGATGTAATTAACAGGTTTTATAAAACCACCATGACGTCTGGTTAGTTTTTTAATTATCTGGACTGAAGAATGACTGCAGGAGTGGCAGGGAAAAGCCATACATACAACAGATAATTTCCAAAGCTATCAATCTTTAAGGCCTTTTGAGAAAGCTATAAAGCTGAGGCACAAAGTAATCCTTGTAATGTCCATCGATGAAACCCTTCCCACTGTTGTGCACAAACCAACAGGAGACGTCTGTTCCAAACACTCGATCTGTTCGGTAGTCTTTCTGCAGACCTCTGCAAGGGAAATGGTGTATATGGTTAGAGCACAGACCAAGGCTTGGCCAGCCTGCATGTCTGGAAAGGAGACATATCCCCACCCCCACCCCTGCCTTGCGGTTCATTGCGACCTTCTTGCACCCTTTCTGCTTGCCCCAACCCATCTCTTCTCCCCAAGCTGTACTGAACATCATTCTCTGGGGCTTGGTGTTGGAAGAGCAGAGAATCAGCAGTGTATCCTTAGATCGCTCAAATAACCCTTTGGAGATGTGCCGATACAGATTTTTCCAGCAAGGTGAAGAGTGCAAATTAACTTTCACGCGGAAAGAAGGTGGGACCCAAACGCTGATGTGCTGTGGGCCTACTGCACGTGTCACCTGCAGGACGAATCTGAGATGCCTCTCACCTTCCCTGGGCAGGTGAGTGTTCTATCTAAGGGCGATGCCAGCTCTTTCTGAGAAATTCATGCCTTTCATGTGAAGGACAAGCCAATGAATTAAAAAGGCATAGGGTGTATTGTCACTCACGATCTTTCAAGTATTTTGCATCACAAGGTGCTTGCAGTCCCTGAACTTGAGGCCCATCATTTACCTTTGTCATTGGAGGATGGCCGATGAGCGTTTACAAATCTCAGATAAGTACTGTGATTAACTGTGCTCACCATTTCCTCTTCAAATATGCTCACTGACGCCCATTGGTAACTCACTGGTCTCCAGTCAGCTGGAGCCAGGTGACTGGCATCCTCACTAAGAGTTCATCATTTTACTTCCCGAATCTATTTGTGGTGGTACGTCGGACTTAATTAGCACCGCAATGTCATTGCATACTTACGTGGAAGCCAATGACATCCGTGTGCAAAGAAAGTCATTTCTTATAGAGCTAAGTGGATTGCATTGTGAAAACTCTTAAAACGCAAAAAAAAAAAAAAAAAAAAAAAATCCAGAAAAAAAACTCTGCTTTAAAATGCTATCAGCACAGGGGAAACTGCTGTAGAGGATTAGGAGAAACTGAAAAGACCCATACGAATGTTACACTGAGAATGCTTTGCAATCTGCAATTCTCACTTCAGAGTGAAGCACGCAGATAGGGCTTGTGTGAGAAAAGCTACACAGAAATGTATTCTTTAGATTCATACTCAGGAAGAAGACTCCAGTCTTACCTAAACATATACATTCATTCTCTAGCTCTATGGTTCACGGGTATTTTTTTTAAATATTTATTTTACTATTTATTTTGAGAAAGGTGGGCAGGGGGAGAGCAAATCTCAAGCAGCCTCCAAGCTAGCTGAGCCCAGAGCCTGACTCAGGGCTCGATCTCAGGACCCAAGCTGAAACTAAGAGTCGGACGACGCTCAACCAACTGAGCCACCAGGCACCCTGGTTGACAGGTGTTTTTACAATTTCCTCCTTCGATCAGCTTTCTCAGTAATCTAGCTTATGACCAGGGCTCTTGCAAATAAGGACTAGCTAGACAAGTAGGTGCCGTCAAATGCCAAGAGCAGTGAAGCTGGCCTGCCTGCAGCGTCCTTATGCAACCGTAGTGGATGTGTCCCTTCCTGATGAGCTGTTCTGTGTGACACAGGGAACACTTGCAAGAGCTTTCCTTGCTTCGGTGTCACTGGGTGAGTTTAATCCTGGTAAAAGCGCTCTCCGTTACTGTTGTATGCATCCATGACCTACCTGGTGACAATCAACGTATGTCCCTTCACTTCCATGCTCGCCTCGGGCTTCTCGGGGTCCTTTCCGGGTCGTTCATTGAAGATACGGATCTTTGGCTCATGCATGAACTGGCCTAGCGAAACAAAGTGCAGACACCGATTTGTGCGGAACCCAAGGGTAAATAACTAAAACAGCCTCATCATCATTTGACCCCGGCTTCATTTTGGTCCTCCCTCCAGAATTTCTGGGGTAGAAAGACATATTAAGAGAAGGACAGAGCAATGGGAGGGATGGGTCCTTCCCAAGATTGATGCTGGGCCGCTAGCCCTACATTCATCTGACATACAAGGCTGACCTACTGGACGAGAAGTAGACAAGAACGCCCCGGTGCTAGGGTGGGGAGGTATAGGTAAGCACCTGCCACATTAAGCTAATCACAGAGACAAGTTTGTGATGTCACATGCTGAAACTGGAACCATTCCTTAGAAAGCAGGGAGAGAGGACCTAGACGCCTTGCTTGTTATCATAGGCTTCCCAAACCAGTTTACCTGTTCAGTTAGAAAAAAAATCTCCAGCATAAAACTGAAAGTGTATCCTGTGGCTCAAAGTTGCCCAGAGTGTGAGGATGAAATCCTGGTTCTGGGAAAACCTCACCTGCAACAGCCAACAGTCTTGGCTAGAGGATCCCTGAGTCACCCTGCATGGCTCTGCTGGGCTGTACAAATCATGTTTGTTATCCTTTGTGTATTATGATTTTTTTTTAAGATTTTATTTATTCATGAGAGACACACAGAGAGGCAGAGACATAGGGAGAGGGAGATGCAGGCTTCCTGCAGGGAGGCTGAAGTGGGGACTCGATCCAAGGACCCCAGAATCAGGCCCTGAGCCGAAGGCAGATGCTCAACCACTGAGCCACTCAGGTGTCCCCATGTATTATGATCTGACATCAAAAACCCTGACCAGGTGGGGAGAGACTGCCCCTCCCAGAGCTAGCTGATTCTGAAAGACAGCAGAGGACTCAGACCAGAGCAAGCCAGACCTCTTCTAGCTGGCCTGCGTGACCTGGAAGCCATTCCAGGGCCAGGAGCCAGGTGAGCAGAGGCCACCCTAGAGCCCCAAGCCTGCCGAGATGTTGCAGGCTAGCCAACCTGGAACCACCTCACCCTACCTTGTCCTACAGAAACCACAGAGGCTCTGGCCTAAACCTGTTGCTTTGAGTTCCAAACTAGAGCCTGCCCTCCCTCCGAGGCCCTGCATCACAGGCCTTGTTTCTAGGGGAATCTGAGTGACAGTAAACATTTCTGGCCCCAACAGCATTGGCCCAGGTGTGGCCTAGTCACTGGTGTAAATCAAGAGCCAGGCACAGAGCATGGCCCCAACCTGTCCTTTGAGCCCCAGTCACTTGCCCAAGTTCTACCCTCCAAAGTTGCTCGAGACCAAGCGGCCCCCCACTTGCCAGGTGGTCGCGAAACACTGTACCTATGAGTCCGTGAGCTTTAGGTGAAAACTTGTTTGTGGGGGGAATGTAGATCCCCAAAAAGTCTACATTGACTGGATGCTTCTTCCAAACGCGATGGAGTAAAACAGAGAAGGACATGTCTTTATCCAGGGTGATGGTCACAGTTTGCTCTTTCTTCACAGAGACGAGCACCCTGGTGTGAAAACCAACATGGAGTCAGCGTTTCCAGAACACACTGTTTAGGAACCCATTCCTCCCGCCGTGAACACGGGCTCGCCATCCCGTCCTGGGCAGTCCCACTAGCACACGAAGCCCTCTCTCTACAACATTTTTGCCACAGAATGCTGTTTTCACTCCCAGCTCTGGAATTCAATCCATTTAGATGTTTGTATAAAAACAATTAACAGGTAATAACAGGAAACCATGACTCATAAGACGCAATCCTGGTGTTCTGGGCATGCCCCGACAGGCAGTTGGCTGGGGGTTTTTGTTGGGTTCATTCACTTATCCAACATGTATTTACTGAGCCCTTACTACACGCCAGGCCTCAGCTGGCACTGAGACACTCGGTGGCCAAAAGACGTGGACTCTGCGGCCAGGGACTGGGCAGTAGGTCACAAAATTCTTCCTGAACCTCAACTTCACATTTAAAACCACGATGGTAAGTTCTATGTTTTTATCAGAGATTTCTGCATTTATTCACACAGTCTCACGTGGAGGACAGGCCCGAATCCGGATGTGATTGTACTCGCCTGTGATTAATGACGTGAGCTGTGTCAGACCAGGACAGGACAGACGTCCGGGAGCCCCGGCTCAGGGTGATGGTCTCAGTGCTGATTTCTACTTTCACGTCTTCACGTTGGAAATAAAATCCCAGTTTTCCAAAATAGGTGCGGAGTTTTTCATTCTTGGGTTTCTTGGCACCAATGAGCTCTCCATTGACCAAAATCCCTGTGGAAGAAAACATGCTGTTTTTTCTCTCTCTCTGTGCACCATGTTTTTGTACATTGGGGCACCATAACTCAAATTTATAAAACTGGACAATAGGGGAAAATTATTATCTTTTTTGCTTCAGGACTTACATTTTTTCCTATGCCATGCTCACTTTGTTATTATGTCTCATCATACTTTAAATGAATTATATCACAATAAGATCTGCTAGTTCATACTCAGTTTCTTAGCTATTCTAATTCCCTTAGGAATGTTTATAATTCATTCTCACTAACTGTCAGGGTTTGAGAAGTACAGGACTCCTATTAAGGTGGGAAGGAAAGAAATCCCAGGTACGACAGTGAAAGATGGCAGTGATAAATTGCCTATTTCAAATATAGTATATTTTTATTTTACCTGATTCTGGATCAGAAACAAGGTTGAGAATTTTTCCAGGTTCTGAGTCAATATTGAAACAAATATTCTTTTCATTTTTTGGCAGGTAAATGATGAAGTGTGGGTCATTTTCAACTGGAAAACATATAGAGAAAGTGAAATCAAACAAAATCATAAGAAGGAAGGTGACATGGAGCAAGCACTTTATTCCTGAACATCTTTAACTTAACAAATATTTACAATGCTTCTACTAGATGCCAGGTTCTGTTCTAGAGCTTCGGGGCCTAGTGGTCCGTCCCCATTGTCCCTTCCTCATGAAGCTTCTGTTAAGAGTTTTAAGTTATTTTACAAATATAGGGTATACTTATTCTGAAGCTATCACATATGATCTAGGCTAGAGATAAAGAGTAAATAAATAAGACACAATAAGAAAAGCACACATACACTCTATGTATATACACATATTTACATGTATACGCGAGTGTTGTATGTAGATAGATAAAAATATGTACGTTTTGAGTAGCTACAGACAATACATAAAAATAAAGGCGACATAATATTATTTTTTGGCATATAGATTGATATTAATCAATTCCAAGAGCAATGAAGCATCAAGGTACACTCAACAAAGAGCTCCTTTGCTACTGGATGACCTTATTCTGGCTGATATTTCTTATTTGTTTGTTTAATCATTCAACAGAGAGTTAATGAGGAAAAAAAACCCAACTCTGTCCAAAGCACTGAATCAGGCAATGTTTGATGTACCTATACATAAGTCATGGTCTTATTTATAAGACCTTCAAGAAAGTCATAATTTAATGAAAGAGTGACCAAGATTCTCTCCTTGATCAAACTTTGCTTAGGCTCCCCCGACCTTTTCAATTAGTCCTCAGCTTTTGGACTTGCATGTCTGTCTCTGTATTTTCCAATTTTTTTTAACAGATCAATTTTTTTAAGACTTTTATTTATTTGACACAGAGAGAGAGAGAATGAGAGAGTGCACAAGCAGGTGGAGGAGCAGAGGGAGAGGGAGAAGCCGACTCCCTGTGGAGCAGGGAGCCCAATGTGGGGCTCCATCCCAGGACCCTGAGATCATGACCTGAGCTGAAGCCAGACGATTCACTGACTCAGCCACCCAAGACCCCCTGCATTGTCCAGGTTTAGCAAGAATCCTAGTAGCTTGGCTTACCTAGAATCTCCACCCTCCATATTGATCCCCTTGATATAGTGGGCTCCTCATCCCCCAATGCCCTCCAGGTGACATCTGATATCCTGACTGCCTTCTGCAAGAATCCTGTTGGATGGGTTTGGCCAGAATCCTCCTTCTTCCTGATGTTTCCTCTTAGTGATTTTCCACCCACAGCCTCCCCCCTGTTTTTGTCTATAAACTCCCACTGTGCCATGCTGTATTTGGAGCTGAGCCCAATCTTCCCCACCCAACAGCAAGGCCCTGTGATGGGGGTCCTCATGCCCATGGGGACGCCCCCCCCCACTCCCTTGAGTAAAGTCTTTGTGACGGTGCATGTCTAACGAATATCGTGAATAATTGGTTTCCTTAGTAGTTTTTCTTTCGTAGAGATAGACACAACCACTGAGGTCAGAGAATAAAATAAATGACACAACAATGGCCCAAGCGGAACATCCTGAGGGTAAAGATGAAGCGGTGACTGACCCCACCTGGCCAGCTGCGAAAGGCCTTGTGAAGGGGTTCGCACAAAGCGTCTCGAAGCTGGGAAAGGCAAGAGACACGGGAGAGACAGATTTTATTCTGAGTGCACAGAACAAGACACAGCTTGGAGGTATAAATGTTGGTGATTTGTGTGCAAAGTAGCTCAGTGTAACCAAGGGATGGGTTCTGGAAGGAATGGAGGAAAAGACTGAAAAGGGGGTCATGGAGATGGAGCATGGCGCCAAGGAATGGAGCTCTAAGTTGGGAACTACGTGAAGTTTTTGAAAATAAATATGACATGATTTGATTTCAGGGAAATCACTTGTCAAGGTATAAATTAAGTCTTGGAACATGGACGTGAGAAGATCGGTTAGCAGCCAGCACAGCAGTAACCCAGGCAAGAGACAGTAGATTCAATGGGAAATGGGATGGGTGCAGGAGGGAAAAATCCAGAGACAGGTGATAGGATCTGAGCGCAGAGGCATGCTTCAGCACTGCCAGGCTTCCAGCCTCGGCCGTCGAAGGCAGTGGAGAGAGGAAGGTCTGTATGGTAGGAACTGCAGTGCTTGTGTTTCCAGAATGAAACTGGAAGAGCAGGCTTCCACTCCTTGAGAGGCTGCCGTGATCTAGATAGCATCGCGAAGCCCCGTGCAAACATCAACTCAAATCCTCACGTATCCTCGCAGAGGACAGGTGACCTGTTAGTAAGTGGCAGAGCTATGACCAAAGCCAAGCTGTCCGATGACAAGTCCACTGTCCCACCCACTCCGATACGCTCATTCATTTTCAAGTGTGTGTTTTGGAACACGAAATGTAAGATAAGCTAATCCAGAGCAGGAATATGATCTTGTACTTCTTTGCACCCCTCACACCACTAAACTCTTGCTATGAGGTCAATAAATACTTGGTTATTTGATTTTGTGTTGAGCTGGGCACTAGAGGGCATCATTAAAACACAGAACAAAGGTTTTCATTTCCTCCCCCCACCCCCCAAATAATTTTGTTAAGGTAACCTCTTCCTTTACATAAATATAGTGTTTTGAAATTTTTTTGAAGGATATTGCTCTTATTAAAGATAATCATTGATTTTGCCATTTTAATTTTACCAAAATCCCACTAATCAGACTGCTGGTGAGTAATCCCAAATCAGTGCTGCCATACTGATTTGATATCATTCTAGGCAGCAGAAATGATACATCAAATTAGGGGAGTCTGTGCGGCCTTACATTTAGAACAGGTTGAGGGTAGATTGAGGACTCTGTGATGACTTCATAGGTTCCTGAGGACCGGGGGTTAATGAGTCTCTATGAGGAACCAGGAACCAACGTTATAACCACTCTGCAATTTATCACCAGCTCCATTTTACAGGTGGGCTCACTGAGACCCCAGGGGGGTTCCAGAGCCTGGGTCCCCCTGTCACGTGGGCAGAGTTTGACCCCAGAACTCTTGGACTCTCAAGACCTTGTCCCTTTGACTGCATCATAAGGGTGACTACATACACCCGGAGGAACCGCTACATTCATACTGGAAAGAATATTGAAAACGAAGTTAGCTTTCTCTCTCCGTGTTTCCACAGAAGCTTTGTTTTGCAAAGCAATAGTGTGAGCGGCTTGTGCACCTGCCATAGGTGCTTTTAGAAGAATGAACAAAAGCAAACAAATTTTGTTATTCTTACTCTCTCTTTAGTATGCAGCCCAAATAATCATTTTCTAACAAGGTTAAATAATATTCTTTCAAATTTCATGTATTCCGACGCCCTGTCTCTTGCTCTGAGAGCCACTCGACAGGGTAAAGATGGCAATTTCGTCAGCACTGTAACCTTTCACACGGCTGCCCTCCCCATGCGTGCTGTGTTGTCAAGTTAGCACTGCTAACTGAAAGCTTGGGGCAGAGTCCCTCCTCAGGCCCTGTTGTTGGACGTGCTGGGGAGGGCAATGGAGGGGCCTCTGGAAGAAGCACTGCTCCTGATGGAAGAGCGAAGAAGCAAATCACTTTGGGCCCACGAATAGTCATTTTAGAGAAAAGCCATAGAGGGTGGTTGGGGGGAGAGATGCACTCACTCTACAAATAGATTCGATGTCCCCGCTACATTTTCTCTGTTACAATATGGTTTCAGGGAGTGGTGGGTATATAGTCTTGAGAAATCCATTCCGACAGTCAGAAATGTTCTTGCTAAAAAAGTCTGCATCCCAGGCAGTCTAGAAAAGCTGCACATGTCCAGGGACATCGGGAGCTACTCTGCTATTGAAATTTCAAACCACCCCAATCGAGCCCCCTATCTGGACCTTCCCACAGGGAGAGGGATGTGCTGTCTCTCTGATTGTTGAAATGTACTCCTTTCTAAGAAAAAAAGAAAGGGGAGGAAGTGCACAGGCTTTCTACACTCGCTAGCTGATTGCCAGGCAGCCGTCACCTCTGTGGGGAAAGGTGGCAAATGCCAGATTTGGAAGGAGAGAAAAACAATAGGAAACAACATTAAAGTCATTTTTATGGCAAAATTTATGGCTTCTGATCCTTAATAATAGCCTTTATGTATCAGCTCTAATGTGCTAGCCCTTTCAGATGGCTTCACACGGTGTCAACAACCTGGCTGCGTAAGTATAGTTATGCCTACTTGCAATGTGCAGCAACATGAAGTAACTTAGTAAGTTCACACGCAATCTCTGAAGAGAATGTTCTTTGCATTGATACCCCATTGGCCCACCCAGCATGAGAAAGAGCATCCCTTCCGTTCCAGAGGGTTCACATCATACAGTTGGAGATGGAGTGGTATGGACCCAGTTGTACCCCCAAAATTCGTACATAGGAGCCCTAACCACCAACAGGATGATGTTTGGAGGTGGGGTCCCCAGGATGGGATTGGTGCCCCGATGAGAAGAGACACGGAGAGCTGACCTAGCTGGCACGATGGTCTTGGACTTCCCTACCTCTAGAATAGTGACAAATAAACGTCTGTTGTTTAGACTGCCCAACTAGGGGCTCTGGGTATGGCGACCCAAGCTGACGAACACACACAACTGTCTTCTTTCACTGGAGGTCAACCATGCCCATAAAAGTCATCTGGTTTACCAGGACCTCTCGAATGTATGTATATGCTCCACAGGATTGTGATCCGATTGGGAGCAGGACTTGAAAGCAGTGGTAAAGGTCTCTTACCTCTCATCACATGTGGGGGAGGTGTGGCCTCCAGCACTTGAGCTCCCAGCACTGGCATTGGGATCCTGGGCATTGGGGAAGGGTTGACCCAAGATGGGACTGAATTCGAAGCAACTTTGTTGCCATAATACAGGGCACCTGTGTGGAAAAACCTGTCTCTGTTAGTTTCCAAGCTTACTTTTCCAGAGAGATTTCTTACAACTTCAAGAATTTGTTTTATGCAGACCCTGTGTTCTCAGCTAAGGTTTTCTCTCATTAATTTTGTTCCAGAATTTTCTCTCTTCCAGCTCCTTCTGTCTTTATGGGCCTGCCATAGGGTTCTCTGAAGAGTCTGGGACTGGGGCTCTAGGAACTGCCCCACGGAGGCTGGAGAAGGTTGTCCACAGCAGCCCCTGGAGAAGTCCTGGATTATAGTCTGTCTCTGCCTGGATCTGCTCCTATTTCCTCACCAAACAACTATCTAAATAACTGAGTTTCTCAACCAAGTAGTTTCCCCTTCTGGTTACAAAAAGTTCAGTTTAGGGGTGTCTGGGTGGCTCAGTTGGTTAAGCATCTGCCTTTGGCTCAGGTCATGATCTCAATGTCTTGGAATCGAGCCCCACACTGGGCTCCTTGATCAATAAGGAGTCTGCTTCTCCCTCTCCCTCTGCCTCTGCTCCCCCCACTTGTACTCTCTCTCTCTTTCTTTCTCTCTTTTTGTTTTCTCTCAAATAAATAAATAAAACCTAAAAAAAAAAGAAAGGAAACAAAGTCCATTTTACTTTCCGATATACAGCCTTCTTGTTGTTGAGAAAACAAATGGCAGTTCACCTAGGCATTAAAATCACTTATAAATGCCAGTTTATCTAGGGTGAGTTTCTCCTGAGATAAATTTAGCTGTGGCACCCAGGCTGTTACAACTAGCACCCAGAGGTAAGAGTTCCTTGAACCCTGGATCGTTGCAGTAAAGCTGGCGTGTCACTTGCACAAAATGATAATGTGTAAAGTGTTCCCTCCGGGGTATGCAGGCCATTGTCAGCACTGTGTTTCAGCAGGACAGTCCCTAAGAAAGCGAGGGCAGAAAGAAGGTGATGAGCCATATCTTTTAAACTTGGTACATGGGCCCCTGGGCACACCTTATGACTTTCCACAGGACACAGAAATCATGGGTGGCTTTTATGACAATTTTGAGGTTCTCGGCTTCCACATACACTTTTCCTAAGAAAACTCTTTATCCTAGTTTAGAAGTGAAAGGCTTGCTCTCTCACCAAAATCCTCTGGGGAAAATTGGTGTAGTGCCGAAAAATGCAATGACTCCAATCCATTGCCAGGAAAACAGATTGGTTTGCAAATCAGACAATTTCCAGTTCTTTGCTTTAAGCAGAATTGAAGTAGGTTGTGAGCTGTCATGCGTTAGATCATTAAAAATAATTTTTGAATACTACATCCTATGTGAGTTTGCATATAACTTTGAAGACGTTATAAATGAGTGACAATTGCTGTAACCAAATTCATTCCATTCCTGTCTACTTATCTGTGTCAACAAGATTTATCAAGACTTAGGCTTAAAAAAGATTTTTTTTTTAAGATTTATTTTTAAGTAATCTCTACACCCAGTTTGGGGCTCGAACTCACAACCCCAAGACCAAGAGTCGCATGTTCCATTGACTGAGCCAAGGGGTGCCCCTAAATTTTTTTCTTTAGCATTGACACTGAATCTGATCTCTTTCAATCTATTAATAAATAGCATTCACCCATAGATACTCGAAAAAAAACACTGTCACATTTTTTCTCATTAAAAGATGATTTCCAATAAAATTTTATTTATGGATATTGAATGTATAATAGGTGTACACTATTTTGACCAATTATCTACTTGTGGTAGTTTTTTGTTGTTGTTGTTAAAGATTTTATTTATTTATTTGAGAGAGAGAGAGAGAGCACAAGAAGGGGAGAAGCAGAAGGAGAGGGAGAAGCAGATGCCCCGCTGAGCAAGGAACCTGATGTGGGGCTCGATCCCAGGACCCTGAGATCATGACCTGAGTTGCAGGCAGAAGCTTCACTAATGAAGCCACCCAGGTGCCCTACTTGTAGTTTTAATAAAACTCTAGAAAAAAAATCTAATAAAATTTAACAAATAATAAATTTAATAAAATTAAATATTAATAATTATATATCATGTGTATATTATATATTATAATAATATAATAATTTTATAAACAAATTTAATAAAATTTATTATTTTTATTTATTTTATTTATTATTATAAATAAATTTAATAAAAAGCTAAAAAAATTTTTTTCGAACACTCAGAATCTAATGGCCACAAGAAATTGAAAAAAATTTAAATTTGTATACATTTTTCTTGCAGAAGGGCAGGATGATCAATAAAAGACTTTCCTGGGTAGCAGTGTATTTATTACATAGAGACATGATTCTGCCAGAAATGGAAATACCAGTTCAACTAGAAAAGAAAACACTATAAAATTTCCAGCAATTAAAACAGAATTTGTTCATTTATTTTTTAATGGATGATGGAGAGTACCAAGTTTGATATCCCGTGTCCTTGGGTACACTTAAAAACAGTGATGTAACAATTTTATTTTAAAGTCTAAAAAAATAAAATAATAAAAATAAAAGTTTAATGTAGGGCGCCTGGGTGGCTCAGTGGTTGAGCATCTGCCTTTGGCTCAGGGCGTGACCACGGGGTCCTGGGATCAAGTCCCCCATTGGGCTCCCTGCAGCGAGCCTGCTTCTCCCTCTGCCTGTGTCTCAGCCTCTCTCTCTGTGTTTCTCATGAGCAAATAAATAAAATCTTTAACAACAAAAAAAGTCAATGTTTACACTATGCCTCAAATTAAATTCATTGCAACTACTGAAGCATGGTGTAAAATGGTTCAATGTTGACTTAAGCATGTGTGTAGGGGTCCACAGGTCCTCAAAATTCCTCTGGGAGCTAAGTGGGCAAAAATGTTCTAAGACCACAGCAATGGACTCTCTCGAAGTAAATTGACAGGAAGAGCTCGGACCCCCGGAGACACAGGGCTGGGAGCACGAGGAGGGCTGCAGGGGGAGAGAGGCAGGGGGGGAGCACCCTGAAGTCGGCTGAGGAAGCTGACCCCTGAAGGGCATGCAGGAGGGCACTTGATGGGATGAGCACTGGGTACTCATATAGTATGTTGGCAAATTGAATTTATTTTTTTTTAATTTATTTATTTATGATAGTCACAGAGAGAGAGAGAGAGAGAGAGAGAGAGAGAGAGGCAGAGACACAGGCAGAGGGAGAAGCAGGCTCCATGCACCGGGAGCCCGACGTGGGACTCGATCCCGGGCCTCCAGGATCGCGCCCTGGGCCAAAGGCAGGCGCCAAACCGCTGCGCCACCCAGGGATCCCAGGCAAATTGAATTTAAATAAAAAATAAAAAATAAAAAATACAATACAATACAGCTGACCTGTCGTATTTCTCCACCAGCCAGGAGCACTGACCTGAGCAGCAGGAGTGGTCTTGCGGCGGGGAGTCGGCCAGCATGCGCTCATCCCCTGCCTCGTTCTCAATCACCATCGTGGTGAGCGGGGTCAGGATGTGATGGTCCAGAGACATCTGCAGGATGGTTTTTGTGATTTTCCTTTTGCTAGCAGCCGTAGGAGCCAGACTTCTGTATTTAGGAGATAGAGGAATTCAAGAACATTACTGCACTTCAGGCCCACGCCCCACGGATTCGGGGCTCAGCCGGGACCCTGGGGACCACAAGATACAAGAACGCTAACTGGCTCCGTGAAGCTGGTATTTTATTTAGCCACGCCATCCTAAGGATTTTTTTTTCAAACAGACTTCATTTTTCAGATGGGTTTTAGGTTCACAGTAAAATTGAAGGGAAAGCACAGAGATGTCCCATGTACTCCCTGCGCCGCACACCGCAGTCGCCCCCAATATCAACACCGCCCCCACCCGAGTGGTGTATTTGTTACAACCACTGAACCTGCACTGACACTTTCATCAGCACCAAATCCGTGGTTTACATCAGGGTCTGCTCTTGGGGTACGTTCTATGGGCTCCGGCACATGTACAATGACACGTGTTCACTGCTGCCGAATCATGCAGGGCAGCTTCATGGCCCTAAAGGTCTCCTGTGTGACGCCTGGTCGTCCTGCCCCCCAAGCCCCCGGCACCCACCCATCCGTTTTACAGGGACTGTTTCTTAAAAGTCCCTATGCTCTAACTCCAGCCGGGCACGGGGTATGTGTACTTTGGCCGTGAAGGCACCAGGATGCTTCTGAAAGGGGCAGGGATGGTTCTCGCTCACTTGAAAGCCACCGCTACAGCCCCGTAGCTGCTTCCTAATTGGACACCGTGGATTTCCTCTGTGGGTACGGTCCCATCACCGTATTTCATGTCTCCCTGACCTAGTTCGGAAGACTCTGCTCCATCCTCCCGGGAATGTGCTCTGGTAGGTGGGAGGGGGCTTGGGCATGGTGGTTCTCTTTGTCAGCACCTGCGACTTGTCCTGCTGCTCATGGTCAGAGAACGAGGCACTGCTTAGAAGCCTAGTTCTTATGTTGGGCAGTTTGGGGGGGGGGAGCTGAGAAGCCAGCGATGGAGGAGAGAGCTATGTCCTTCAGTGGCACTATAATCGTAAATCCTCGTTGGCCTACAAACTTTGCAAAAGTAACTAAATGCAAATGAACTACTGATACACCCCCAGCAACATGATGGATTCTCATGGACACCGTGTTCAGTGAAAGAAGCCAGAAACAAGAATATGGGTTGTATCATTACAAGACGTTTGGTCACAGAAAACTAAATGATGGTGATAGTGGTTTCCACTGTGGGTGGGGGTGGGGGTTCTGTGGGGAGAATAAGGGACCCTTCAGGGAAGACAGAAGTGGCCTCTAATGATCCAGGTGGTGATGACATGGGTGACGCATATATAAGAATTCATTGAACTGTACTCTTAAAAGTCATGCACTTCACCCACTTTATGTATGTCAGACCTCAATAAAAAAAGGAAAAGGAGTGAACTCAGCTTTGCTTCAGGTGTTTGGAACCAGTGGAAATTGACCATCCAAAGCCTGAATTAATTTGCTGCCTTTCTGGGTTCCACATCCTTTTTGTGTATTACTTCAAAATACTCAAGGCAGACCTCTTACTTTTGCAAATCCCCATTATGTATACTCTTCTTACCGCTCAGCCAGAAGTTGGTTGATTGTCAGATAGGCCCACAATTTCTTGGTGAAATCGGGATCTGCATGCTTGTCCTTTGATAGAAAATCCTCCAAGTCGTCCATCTGGGCCAGAGTTTCTAAGACTAACTCCGTGTTAGCCTGGATGATGGAAGATTCAGTTGAAAGATATCGAGGGGGCCAAACTACAGTTAATCAAGCCACGTTTTTCATATCTACTCTGAGTGAATCAGGGAGCTACGTAACTTCAGGGGAAATGCAAAATAATTCAAAAAATACAGAAGAGGAAGTAAGTGCATACATCCAAGGTTTGGGATTGGCTTTGGGATGAAAAGGGAAGGATTTACAAAATGGCTTTGACCATGGCATAGATATTCTCAAGTCTTCTCTTTCACTTTATTGCTTTTATTCCACATGCAAGATTCATGGAATGCAAAATACTAACCGGCTAAGATACAAGATGGACTGTTTCGAGGGGACCGATTAGTATTTTTGAAAATAAGCAGATAAGCGGAAGTACCGAAGTTGCAGTGATGATGCTCTGTAACTGCTCCAATTTATCAGGGTTGAATTTTCCCGCCACCACAATCTCTGAGCCTCCAAAATAGTTGTGAAAACTGTTTTGAGTGACATCTGATACTGACATGTGGGGATAGTTGAACTGAACGTTCCGGAGCAGGGGAGTAGAGACCTGGTTGTAGAATTTCTATAATTCATTAAAAAAAAAAAAACAGAGAAATCATTATTTTCATACCACTTCATGGGTCTAAAGCACTTTTTTTAGAGGGGGGAGGAGCAGAGGGAGAAGGAAAGAGAGAGAATCTTAAGCAGGCTTCACACCCAGCTCAGAGCCCAACTCATGGCTCCATCTCCTGACCCTGAGATCGTGACCTGAGCTGAAATCAAGAGTCAGACACTTAATCAACTGAGTCACACAGGAACCTCTAAAGTACTTTTTGCTGAGATTCCTCAAATGCTTAGCTGGCATCTCTTAATTTATCCTCACATAATCTCTGTGGAAAGCTATGGGACCAGGAGAATTCTCACAATTAGCAGATGAACTGAGGTATGGAAAAACTAAAAAATTGTTAAGAATATTATTCTGACTTGAGCCTAGCGCATTTTTTTCTTTTATGATCAGCATAAAAAGCTCATAAATACTCATAATAAGAAAAGTCAGCTGAGTTGATATTCCCAAATTATCTCGTAACCCTTTCCTGTCCCTGACTATAAATATGGTGCCTGCAACTGACCCATGGAGCCTGGAAATGACAGAGGGTGGCGTGAAATGTGTTCCTCTTCTCCTCCGTCTTTTCCTTGTCCATGTAGTCAAACGAAACAAGTAATTTGTCTCTTTTACCTTTAAGGACACTTACAAGTTATCATTTGATCTGTGTTGCATTATAAAAAGTTGATACCAAGACACCAATGCACTTTAAAGGGGGAACAATGGCCATGACGGTAAGAACGACCAGGTGTGTTAGTGGAACTGGAAAGCCCAGAAGGTTCGATAATGCCTGGGAAGTCTTGCTCAGGGCATAGGGAGTGTGTGCCCATCTCTCTCTCATCTCCCGCCTCATTGTCAATGCAGATGCACATGCAAAAGGAGGTGAGAAAGGAATTGAAGACTTTCTCATTCTCGCGGCCTAACACAGCAGAAATGATGACAATTGTGACTCAAATCTGGCCGTCTTCTTTTAGGCATCAGATACTGCTCGTCGAATGATTTTGAGTGGAGGAAGAAGAAAGAACAGAAAAAAAGTGTTACTTTGAGCTGGGAAGATGTGTCCTGGTTTCCATAAATCCTTTGCGCGATTCCACGGTTTTCATTGGATAGTCTCTTCAAGAAGTCATAATCAACGTCAAATCCTATCCCCAAGCTGAACAAGGAGATGTTGTCTCGTATGTTCTGCTTCACATTTTTTTGAATCTTTGACAATTTCAGTTCACCTAAAGTTGATGATGACAGAAAGGAAAAGAATGAGGGGCAATGCCGCAGTGTTTTTGGAAAATCTGCGGAGGGTGGTTTAGCAGAATTTGTCAAATTAAAAATGCGCTTACCCTTTGACCCAGAGACTCAACTTCTAGGGTTTTTTTTGTAGCTGCCCTCACATATAGGGAAATGAAGTACGGGCAATCATACCTAGCATCATTATTGGGAGTAGCAACATATTGAAAACAAATGTACACAAGGAAGGGAGGCTGGCTAAATGATGACACATTCAGACTGTGAGAGATTGTGCAGTTATTAAAAAGAGCAAGGAAACTCTTTATGTATTTATAATGAATGATCTCAAAGACACATTTTTAAAGGGGAGAGAACAATGTAAGGATTGGTATAAGTAGGATGTATCTGCATACCGGCATGCATGTATGTGTGCATGTACATGTGTATATATATATTCACATATAAATATATAGGGAGTATACACATATGCACAGAATCTCTAAAATGATACACGAGAAATTGCTAACCAAAGATTGCCTCCAGGGACAGGAACTAGGTGATTAAGGGACAGAAATAAGAAACAGACTTAATTTTTTGCTACACATCCTTTTCTTCCTTACGATTTTATCCTCGACTTGAATTTGTTTTAAAGATCTTATTAATTTATTTTTAAGTAATCTCTACACCCAGTGTGGGGCTCGAACTCACAACTCCAAGATCAAGAGTCACAGGCTCCATGGACTGAGCCTGCCAGGGGCCCCTCAAATTGAATTTTAAAAGCAATCTGATCTGAGAGTGAAGAAACACTGAATCTGCCACAAATACTACCTCACGACCCCCATTGTAGTCTCACTATTAATAAAATGCTTGTGGGACACCTGGGTGGCTCACAGTTAAGCATCTGCCTTTTTTGGCTCAGGGCCTAATCCCAGGGCTTGGGGATCGAGTCCTGCATCAGGCTCCCTGAGAGGAGCCTGCTTCTCCCTCTCCCTATGTCTCTGCCTCTCTCTCTGTGTCTCTCATGAATAAATAAAATCTTTAAAAAAAAAAGGAAAAAAATAAAATGATTGCTTCTTGTCTTACTAAAACTCCAGTGGCCACTGTCATGATTGGCCCACTCATCTTCCTTCCACAGAGCTGCATTCAGCATGGGTCCTTGTCCGTGTGGCAGACTGTGACGCAATCTAGCATGCACTGTTGTATTTGCCAGTTTAAAGACACAAATGAAGCAGATCAAAATAATGGCACATGACAGTAGCCAGGAGATGTTGGGCCATTTTGTGGAGAAGAATGCATCGTGTACAGGTGTATCAGAAAGACGTACTTTCTCCAGTTGCCGTGAGTGACTGGGGCCAGGGTGGGGTGTGTGGAGAAGGAGGGAATGTTCCTGCAGACCCCAGAGGTCTTCTGGAGGCTTGGGACGAATGCTCATCCCGTATGCTCCCCTACACCATCTTACATGGTGCACTGTGCTACAGGCTATTACAATTCACACTCAAGTTTCCCCACATTGTGGAGGTGAAACTGGTGCTTTTAAGAGCATCACCCAAAAAAATGTCTGGGACTGGGTTTCAGTGGGGTGAGTGCTCCAGAGTTAAAAGAAGCCTCCTTTTAGAAACCATGGGGTTAAGATGGTTTGGAAACTCAGGCAAGTGTCATCAGATTTTCCATTTTAAGCAAATCACATTCCCAAGAAACAGGAGTAAAACATTTGTCACCAGAAAATTGAAGTGCTACTTACCTACTGTCGGGTCGCCATCAGAAACCAAAATGATCAGAGAGACTGACTCAGGGTCCAGCAATCCCAAATTATTGGCTTCATTCAGAATAAAGATGGCACGCAGGAGTGCTTCGTTGATATTTGTGCCTGTGAGGGTGACAGGATGTGCCGCTCCGTTATGTGCCCTCTTTTTGCACAAAAACCATCACATCCTGGGTTTAGGTTCATCTGTCTGATGATGACTCACGCATAATTTATTCAGCTCCCAAATCTGGCTGCTTTCCAAGTGACACACATTTTCCCCATGCTGGTCAAGATTCCCCAATGGAATAAAATAGTCGCTTTGGAGTGAACTAGTCCCTGAAAGATGAATTCGTCCTTTCAAAGCACCCATCTGTCATTTTGTTAAACACCAGACTGAAGGCACGCAAAGCAGTGCTTTCTTGCTGACGTGCTGGGTCACTGGTCTGTGGACAGTTGCATTTTTTGCTACGAGAGTAATAAGAAGGCTAGTGTGACCCTCTGTGACCCTTTTCTGAGGGAGACTGGAAAGTTTACAGACTTGTGTGGGATGGGTCATGCACTGTGCTTTCACATGAAATTAAGATTCATCATGTAATAATACATCACTGTTTATGGCAGGCCATTGAAGGCGGGCCAAAGACCACCATGGGAGGGAAGGGGACTTCCTAAGCAAATGACGATTTGAGCCCTATGAACGTTTCTCAGTGGCCTCTCGGGTAAAGTCACTCACCTCCACTGGGCTGGATTTTCTCAATATACTTCTTGGCATCTGTCACCTGTGTTTTAGTAGCTGAGACCAAATCATTTCTCCAGGTGCGAACATTGTGGTTGAAGTCAATCACGGAGAACTGGTCTTCGGCTCTTAGGTCATCCAGTATGGTCTTCATTGCTTCCACTGTCTATTTAAAAAAAAAAATGGAGAAGGCTCTCATTCCGTGAGATCTAAGCCCCAGAAGAAAAGAGGGAGGACCAAGAATTCATCTTGTCATCTTCCAAGTACAAACTCAAGAATGACAATTCTTCCAGAAAACCGCCTCGGTCAACACTGACCTGTCACTTACCCTGAACATGTACTGTCTGCATTTTGATACTTAAGCTTTGACTGTTTTATTTTGTTGTGTACAACCACTTTGACTCATCTCAGATTTAGTTAAGAATCGCAAACTTCAAGTGCCCCCTTAGTAGTGGCTAAGAATCAAAGTCCAGCGACTCACCCTCTCTCTTAAATTGCTATTTCTCATCTCATTTCTCTTCAGACTACCAACACCTCTCTCTTCCTGTCTCAGCTCCCGACCTGGATTCCAACTTCACTGACAAATTAAAGCAATCAGAAGAAAACTTCCACAGTCTCCTGCCTTCCTGCCCCGTAATCTAGGAGAACTAGCAGTATTTTTATAGAATGCACATCCATCCCCTGGGGAGCTAGCTTTCCTTCTCCCTCATCTATTGAAGAACATGGCCAGCAACTGGCCCTTGCATCTCCCACATTCAGAATTTCCCTCCCGCATCGGTGCACTGAAGAGATGCACCTGTAAGGGTTTCAAAGTCACTTGTGAACAATGGCAAGATGGTAAAGTAAAACGTTATACAGAACAAGACTATGAAATGCAAGAGTGAACCCAGCAAGTAGGAAGGGAGATGATATTTTTCAGAGCCCTGAGTTTTGAGATAAATGTCTGTTGTTCATAAGCCACCAGTTCTGTGGTTCTTTGAGCACCCTGAGCTGATGAAGACGAGGCCTGGGAGGCTGGGAGGTGAGGAGCAGGGGGAAGGTGCATTGAATGTCTGCCATGTTGGGAGGGGATCAGAGAAAATGAGGAGCCCCAAGCACCCCTGCCAACAGGAGACAGGGAGGTACTCACTTGTTTCATTTTTATTCCCCACATTGAGCCGCTAACATCAATGACAAAGAGGATGTTTTTGGGAATTGGGTCCAGGTTTTCAGGAGCGAAAAAGTGGACAAAATATCCATTAAATACCTGGAAAACAGAACACAATATTTAGAAGGTAGGAAGAGGGGGGGTCTAGGGACTAAGAAGAGGCAAACACTGGGGGAACAGGAGGCATGCTGGTCATGAAGGAGAGGCTCCGTATCCATCCATGTTTCTCCCTCCTCTTTCCTGTTCTCCCCCACTCCTCCCCTTGGGAAGGCCCAGGATCTCTGGGTAGTTTCACTCCCCAGGGCATTTCACTTCACTCCCCTCCAGCCACCTAGTCTTCTGGGGAACCTGCTTTCCAGGGATCCCATTAACCAATAGCCAATGGGGCAGAGTCTCTGCCCTCACAGCACTCTCAGACCAGCCAAGGATCCAGACAAGTAGGAAGCAACTGTAGCATACTGTTTGTTATGTGCTATGGTCAGGAAAATAAAGGGCTCTGAGAGCACCCAGTGGATGTGTATCTGACTCAGATGGGGGTTGCCTTTCCTAAGGAAATGGAATCTACACTCAACTTGAGTGTGAGTTTGGAGTTGGCCTGTTAGGAGTGGGAAAGAGAGATCCAGATAAGGGTGAGAAAATATGGCATACTAGGGGCTCTGTAAGTGGTTCGGCACCACCACGAGGGCTGTATAATTCAAGAATTCGAGGAATAAGGTAGAGAGTCAGCAGGACAGATCATGAAGACCTTTATCAGTACTCTAGGGAGTTTGGATTTTTCTTGAAGTTATTAGAAGGCCATTCCATGTCTTTGTCTTCTCTGGGCCCTAATGCCTGGCTCCTCTAGTTCTCTTTCCACCGCCCTATGGTTGTTTCTATCAAGGTGGTACAAGGCCTAGGTGTGGAATGTATACCTGTGGGTGCTTCTGTACCACCATCCTGGACAGAAGCACAGGCTTTCGGATACCCTCTAAGGGCTCTGATCTTAGCACAAGGGAAATACAGACATACACTTAAGACACGACAAAAAAGGAAAGGAAGGAAGCAATCTCTCAAATGAACAGTAGCCCTGGAATCTGCCACTAGCCCAGATCTTTCTTTTGGTTGTTCCGTCCACCCAGCCCCATAACCTCTCTGCTTTCTTTGATAGTTTAGTTGCAAAGGGCCTTCAAAGGTCATCCAAAATTCCCATTTTGTGAATTTCATACTGTACTTCATATAAGGCCTAGAAGCATCTTTCTGGGACAAGGATATGAAACTCGAGGACACTCTATTTGGTTTTCTTGACATGAAAAGATGATGCTTAGTAACACTTAGGGAAATAGGATTTAGTCCCTTCTCTGCCACTAGACACTTGCCTCGGCAGCTAGGAGTCACCTAGAAGCCAGGGAGCTGTTGGGCCTCAGCATGGCGGTTCTCTCAGAGATTGGTTTCACCCACCTCGAGTTCTCCGGCCTTCTCTTCTCTGTTCACATCATACATCACCACCAGCTCTCCGTCTACTGCAGTCTCAGAGCAGTTGGAGCATTTTCTTTGCTGGACCACAGAGGGCTTGAAGGACACATGTGCCTGGAAAGAACAGTGATGGATGTTGGAGCCCACGGTCTGTGCCTCTCCCTCCCCAGGTGAGGGGTGACACCTTCCCATGCACACAGGGGAAGAGCTATCCCCATGGCTCAATGGCCAGCCTCCCTCCAGGCAGCATCAGCAGCCCCATTTCCAACACAAGGGATGGTGCTGGGCCTGGGAAGGGGCATCTACCATCCCGTGGTGCTGCTGCCCAGGTTTTAGGACTTCTTAAGATACCCAAAGAATTTCTCCCTCCTTCTCCCATCAGAGAGAAGGCTACCAGCTTGAGAAAGAGTTGGTGAAAGGTCCTTAGAGGAGTTTGATGCCTCCGCTGTTGGTTCTTATTGGTCACAAAGTGAAGAGAATTAAGCTGAGTATCTCTTGCTGTGACCAGTGAAAACCTATCACGTATTACAAGAAAGCTGTCTTTTAGCTCCTGGTCAAGCCCATGACTTGAGGGAAATGGTGTCCCAAAGAGGATGGTCACTGGTCAAAATGCAATGAAGCAATTGGGAGTGGTGTTCTGTAGATGGTGGGGATGCTAGATTCTGCTCAGGGATCTCTGTTCCATCACAGAGTCTACCACCTGAGCACTTTTCTGTTCCCCAGAGCACAGGAGGGGCAAAGAACTCATGAGCTCGTGGCCACTTAGACTCTCTGCAACAGGCACTATGTATGATACCTTCTGCTGTCCTTTAGATATGACTGGAACACCATCAAAATGGCCATCAAATGTGTCAGGAACATGAAGAAATCGTATTCCCTGAGGTTCAATAACCCACACGTCTACCTGGAGATGAGAAAGAAAATTACTCAAAGCATCAAACTATCATTCAAGGCATTTTTTTTTGAGGAAAAAGTACAATTGCTACACCCTCTGCTGTTCTTCTCATCTTCAAGCTTTCCCAGAGATGACCCAGCACAGTTCCACGATCACCTCACCTGCCACGGGATATGATTCATCTCAGCACGTGGGCTGAAGACTCATTGGGCAACTCAGTACTTCCTTTCTCTTGTCTCATTCTCCATCTCTATCCTGTTCTTTTTGTTGTTGTTGTTTATAAGAGATTCATGTTGTCAAAGGAAACAAAAAAAGGAAAGCCATTGCGAAATGATTCTGCACTTAGTCTGTGCATCTGTCAATGTAGACCCAAGGCTTTTTTATTCCTTTACTGTCTATGTGCTCTGAACAGAGCTAAGCAGGAGGAAATCCGTTTGGGTGATCCTTGGAAAAACCATAGTCATGGCTTCCATTTCTCTCTGTAGACTCAAAGTACTCTGCTAAGCACCATGTATGTATGAACTCATTTAACTCTTATATTCTTATTACCTGTTGTTTTATTTGCTATTGTTTATTTTATGGATGAAGAAACAGATTCAGAGTGACCCAGCTTATAAGTGGCTGAACCAGGCTTCAAACCTAGGGCCCGAGTTCCTAATACTTTGTACACTGCTTCTTGACTTCCAGTAGCTTCTGCTTCATCTTTTCAGTTGACTTCACCACACTATTCATTAGCCCCATGCCACAGTATCCTATATGTTTTTCATGAGATTTCCCATCTTTTGCACACACCCACTTAAATGAGAGGCCATGAGATAGAGCCCTATGCACATTTGTTTCCTTATTGCCTCTTCCTCATTTAGGATCATTTATAATAGTGATGAGTTCTCTCCCCTTTGGAAGTAACTGGCTTTGGAATCATGCCAAATTTTTCTCTGATTTTTTTTTTTTGTGTGTGTGTGGGCTCCATGTCCAGGGTGGGGCTCAATGTAGGACTTGACCTCACAACCCTGAGATCAAGTCTTGAGCTGAGATCAAGAGTCAGACGCTTAACTGACTGAAGCCACCCAAGTGCCTCCTGATTTTTTTTAAAAAAATCTGCTTTCAGGGATCCCTGGGTGGTGCAGTGGTTTGGCACCTGCCTTTGGCCCAGGGCGCAATCCTGGAGACCCGGTATCCAATCCCACGTTGGGCTCCCTGTATGGAGCCTGCTTCTCCCTCTGCCTGTGTCTCTGCCTCTCTCTCTCTCTCTCTCTCTCTCTCTCTCTCTCTGTGTGTGTGACTATCATGAATAAATAAATAAAATCCTTAAAAAAAATCTGCTTTCATAAAGTCATGTACACTTGTCCAAGCAAAGCCAACATTTTCTTTCTTGGTTATTACAAATTACAGCGTAAGATTTGAGCTTAATTTGCCTCCAAGATTTCTGTTAGCTCTGGATTCTCCATGTTGGTAAGAACTAAATCTACACAAAATCAGGTGAATCAGACATCCCAGGACAATCTGACCCAGCCATTTCAGGTAGTTGATTGAGCAGCTCCTGGAGGGAAGGGAGAAAAGTTGGGGAGCTGCAGAAAACTGGGGCCACTGCTTTCATTCTTCCATAAGGTTCTACCTATAAACAAATGTAGGGTACTCAAGACAAGGTTTGGTCTCTCCATACGAGCATGCAAATGGCAGGAAGACCTTTTCCCAAGTGTCGCAGAAGCTATTAGCACTCCTGTGCTCAATTTGAGGCAGACATGCCCCCCAAATCTAGTAGGACGCTATGCTTTGGGGGTGGATATCTAAGGTTGCATAGCTGGTCCCTCTGATAGGCTGGGACCAGTCCATAGTGGCCTTGAGTCACTCAACATGTTGGTTAGCTTTTCTGTAAGGAACACATGTGTTGGAATAAAATGTATTCCCAACATTTGACATATCCAGGGGGGTCGGGGTGGGAGTTAAAAAGTGATGTATTCTCTGATTCCTGTGAGGGAAATGTATTTCCAGTTGGGTGGTCCTTCTGATGGTGATTTGAAAATATATCTGGAATAAACACAAGGAGGTCCAATTTTATGATTTCTCCTTAATTTATCTCTGGATGAGATCAAGCCTCTTCAGAATTGGATACATTTCATAGGCTATTAGAGCAGGAAAGTGCCCAAAGACTCACCTAGTCCAACTTTTTTTCACAGATGAAACACTGAAGGACAGGAAATGGATTTGCCCAGAGTTCACAGCTGTGAGTGCAGACTCTGGATTAGAACTTGGGAAACTTGCCACTTTGTCTTACACTCTTGCTAAGCTATTCAGACTACGTCTTATTTTAAAAACAGGGATTTTCTAAGAGCTTGGGAAATTTAAGGATGAACAAAAATTTCAGAAATATAAGAAAGATTTATGTGCTACGTGGTATGTATGTTAAAAATCGTTATCTTTATGGACTCAAACTACATCCTTGGATTTATAGCTAAGAACACAGTTTCAGAGGTAGACTTTATCTCAAATTTTACTTGTTTCTTAGCTATTTCCTTAGGCAAGTTATTTATATACATCTGTATATCAGGGCTAATGAGATCTACTTTACAACTTGTGGGGAGAAGTCAATGACATATCACCATCTCATTAAAATGGTATAGAAGTATCCTCATATCATTAACTCAGTTGCTATTAATATTATTATTAACAACCTCAGCACTTGCATCATTGCAGGCAAGATGCTAATCATATCTATTTACCATGAGATTCATAGGATTGAGAAGGAGAATGCCACTCATTCATCATTACTCCTAGAAAAATAGCCAGGGCCACATGTTGAGTTGTGTAGAGCCCCCAGCCAGGACTGTACGAGGGTGCTGAGATCCAGCCCATAACCCCCTTGCCAAGTGTTGTGTCCTGATATGGGGCTGAATTTGCCAGGACAAAGGGCATCTTTTCCTAATTTTCACAAAGGCACCAAATAACTCAATGGCATCTACCCTGAGAGCAAGCTGATGTCACACAGTGGTCATGAGAAGAAAGGGGGGTTCCATTGGTCAGATATGCAGCTTCTCAAATTAGAGTAGAAATTTCACCATGATCGCTTCATCCCCTGGAGTCTTCTCTGCCTACAGGCCTCACCTTCCTATCATCTATCCTATCTCCATTCTGTCAAATGGAGAGGCAGATTGGATCATATACTCTCCTTGGCTGCTTCTGGCTCTGCTCTGCCCCTGATACAAAATGTTCATGTGATGTCACAAAGACTCAAGCCCCACAAAGAGTGTCTCAGTTCTTAGGGCAACAGGTGAAGGTTACAGCAAAGGTGAGTTCATATTTGTAGGGCAATGGGGTGACAGAGGAAGACAATTGATATTCACTGATTCCTATTATTTGCCACCTATTTCCATAAATTATATGGAAAATATGTTCTTGTCCCCTTTACACAGATGAAAAAATGGACACTCAGGATAATGTGTCCCATGTCAGAAGGCTAGTGTATTGGTTGAATGGCACCCTACCTCCCCACCCTACTGGAACCCCCCAATTTGATGTCTACATCAAATCCCTGGAAACTGTGAATGTTACCTCATCTGGAAAAAGCATCTTCATAGATGAACTTAAGGTAAGGATCTTGAGATCATCCTGTACTATTCAGTGGACCTGAAATCCAATGATGAGTTTTCTCGTAAGAAGGCAGAGGGTGATTTGAAACACATAGGGGAGAGCATGGCGTGACCTCCAAGGCAGAGATTGGGGTGATGTGGCTATGAGGCCACAGGTCAAGGAGTGCCAGCAGCTGCCAGATGCTGGGAGAAGCAGGGAACAGATTCAGGAGTAAGGACCCCCAAGTCTTCAGGAGTAAGGCTCTGCTAACACCTGGATTTCAGATTTTTGTCCTCCCATACTGTGAGAAAATGATTTTCTATTGTTTTAAGCTACCCAGTTTGTAATCACTTATGGCAGCAACCCTAGGAAACTAACACAACTAATAAAGAGCCAAGCCAAGCTGGCATTGAAATCCCCAAGGAAGTGTCCTGGTGGGCTCCAAACCCATCAGCTTCTCAGTCCACCTCACCGTCTTGCTGAGTTGAATACATCCAACACCACAAAGAGTGCTGACCAGCAGAATGTATAAATCAGGGATAGAAGCCATCAGCAGATGGGGTCACTGTGCACCCTGCAAAACCCGGCTCACCTCCAAGTGCTTGGCCAGTCGCCCCGGTTGCAGATGGAGCCTGTGTTCATAGGATCCCAGCTTCCTCCACTTCACTTCCTGGTAATGAAGTTCAAACTGCACCTTCGCTCCAGGGAGGATGTTTACTTCGGTTTGGAAGTTTTCCATGTCAAGAGCCCGGCTCCTAAAGGTTTAACCCTGATGTGAGTCACCCTATCCATGATGGAGAGCGAGACCCCACATCTATGCAGAGGGCACCTAGGCTTTTGTGGGCAATCAAGTCTGCTCAGGGTGTTCATGCAAATGAACAGCAGGTGCAGTCGAGGACACGGAAACCTCTAGGTAACTTTAATTCTGCCAACATTTTAGTATCCTCTCCTACCTGGTCTCTTTCTTCCACAGCTTCTTACAAATCTGAGCGTCATCTGCAGGAAGCTACCAGTTACTGATCCCTAGTCCATGCTGGGACCTTGACATGCGTCATTTCTGACACGGGAGCTCTGCAGGATGGATACCATTGTTCTCATTTCCCAGATGACAACAAATGAGGCTAATTGATGATTAGTGACCAGCTCAAGATCACATGGCTACTCAGTTGTGGGGCTGGGCTCAGACCCAAACTGGCAATTCCAGCCACAGCACACACTGCCTCCGCTGCACTAGAGGCTCATTCTAGAGATTCTTTACATCATTGAAAGTCTTCAGAAAGAAAACATCTATGATCACAACAAGTGGAATAGGTATTTCCAGCATAAGCCCTTACTTAAACACATACATAGTGAGTTTACTGTGATCATTGTTTGAGGTGTTTAGTTTTAAAGAGGAAACAGCAGGATTGTTAAATGAGGATGCTTTGGACTTTGGGATAGAGTGGGAGCAGCTATTGGATGAGACCTTAGCCCATGCTGGCCCAGCCCTTACCTCACCAACCCTGTGGTCTTGCCTTTGGCTCTTGCCTGGGAGTAGAGTGCACGACCCACTGTCTTCTCCCTAATGGAACTGGTGAATGTTGTGCCGTCTACTGTCCTAAAAAAATGACAGGAGGCCACTGAGCTGTTGGGTTTTCCCGAGTAGTAGTCTCAACGAAACAAACAACAAACAACACAAACAAGATGATTTAGCAAATGTGGGCAATTAACATTTTGCACCTAGAAGAGAAGAGAAGGGGGACATTGGCTTATCTCATAGTCAGGAGTCTCTTCATCTGAGAGTTGAGTTAAGAGGTAGGTGCCCATCCTGAAAGCCTTCCCTTGGATGCTGCCGCTTGTGTTTAAAATTGATTCTGATTTTTAAGTTTTACCCTTCAGGGTAAGTGTTGTCCCCTTTGGGTAACTCTTCTGAATTGCAAATATGTCAAGGAGAGGAGCCTGCAAAATCATTAGTTATATGGTTTACATTTGTTTAGAAGATCATTCTAGGAGCCCAGGGCTCATACTCTCCAGCAAGGGTAGAAGAGAGTGAGAAAAGATGAAGGGAGGCATTGGGGAATCCCTTTGCAAATTTGTGTTTACCCCTCTAACATTTCCCTTAGGAACCTCTAACTTACCTTTGCAACTCCATCTCTACCCACCTTAATTAAACTGACTGTCATCTAATGTGTTCCAAGTAATGATTGGTCAGAGCTGTCAAATTACAGGATTTCAGAAGTAAAATGGGACCTATGGCATTCAAATGGACAGCATCCCTCACCATATGGAGAATGCTAGATGTCCTGCAGTGTGAGGGCCAGGTTCTGGTCCCAAGTACCAATGGAAGGCTTGGTGAGGCTCACTTCAAGGCCGCCTCTTTAGATGAGAAGTCAGAGCCAGGAGACAGTGACTCAAAGTCACATAGTTGGTCAGAGACTGAAGTAGAACTGGACCCCATGTGTCCGGGACTGTGCTATTCCCCTCAACTTATAGTCAGCTTCAAAGACCAAGAAGTCTTTAAGACTAAAGGAAATTACTTCTGATGGGAGAATATTTGGAATCTTGATGAAAAAAGCAGAAGCAATATTTTGTGAAGTTCATATAAAACTGTGGTGATTGAGTTGGCTACCTTCTCTGGTCTTATAAATTCAGCCCTGAGTGGAGGGAGAGCAAAAAATGTGTATGTTGTAATTCTATCTTTTGTCACCTCAAATCTATGACATGAGGTGGAGAAGAAGGAAAGGAATAAAGGAAAACAGAAAGAAGCAGTATCTAGAATAAATTCCGGTTATGTGGTTTAAAAATAAAAATGTATTAGAATAGTTGTAAATATAATTTTTCAGACATGGTGTCATATAATTCTACTACATAAAAGCTCTTCCTCCTACATTTTCAGAACAGGTTGCCTAAAAATTAAAAAAAATAAATTTCTAAGCCAATTCAAAGGATACCATTTCAAAGTCACCTAATGCCTTTTCCCCATCTACTTTGTTTTGTTTAGAGTATATAGTTAAGCTCTACAGTTTTCAGAAGCCAAAGTGCATGCTATTGGAATGCTTTATTTATTCACGGTTATTGCTGGTTAACTTGGTGGTGAAAGACCAAAGCAAATGAGAAGCAACTCAATCTAATGTCTTAGTAAAAAGAAAAAAAAAAGCCAAACTGTATGCAGAGCCCTGTGCTTCTAGGCAATCTGAGTAGGACATGGCCAGGTGGACACTCTAGGGATGGTCACTTACATGACTGAGGGTAGAAAGCCATCCAAACACTTGGAGGAACAGGGAATGTTTAGCCCTGAAAAATGTAGCCACCAGGTGGGACGATATAACTGACCTCACTTTCTAAAAAGCCTTGAATGGTTGAAAAATATTTTTTATTACGGAAATCTTCAAATATACAAAAAAAAAAAATAGAAGAATAGAAGAAACCTCCATGAAACCATCCCTGAACCACAGCATTATCAGTACTCAGTCTCAGTTCACCTCTACCCCTGTGCTCACCATCTCGATTATTTTGAAGTCAATCTCAGACAGTATATCATTTCATCCTCGAAATGAAATCATACATCCTTCAGTTTGTATTTTGCAGAGAATTAGAAAAAAAATTTGCGTGCAGAACCAGAGTCACTGGGTAGAAATGGAATAAATTTCAATTAAGTATGAGAAATAATTCTAACAGGCCTGTCAATCATTGAGTGGATTGTTCTGGGAAGTAGTGAGTTTATCATTAAGGGGATATTCAAGTCAAGCCTGGATAAGCCATTTGTCCTCGGGGTAATAGAGGAATTCAATCACTGGACAGATGATTGGATTTAATCAGTCGTTCTCGTGTTTTTTTCCCCATAGAGAAACATGACAAGATACACAGAACTGCTCTGCAGTCGTGTATGGTTTCCTGTAAGTCATAGCAAACCCATATATTTCTCCCCCTACCCCAGAAAGCACATTAAAATGCCCAAGTAAGAGTTGTTACCAGAGAGATAGCTTAATTGCTTTAGTTTTTTTAGAAATGAAAAGCAAATCCTTCACAAATTCTGACACTTTGAATGGAAACAAATTATAGGGACCCAGCCCACGATGACTCTTGACATCCAGTGGGTCCATGGCTCTGAGAATGAGAACCACGGGAGCAACTGACCATTAAGGTCCATTCTAGCTATGAGGGGGTTGGATTCTCTGAGTAGAGTCTAAATAGGAGTTACTCACATGGAGAAGTTGGAGATGAAGGCTCCTTTGGGAATCTGAACATCAAACACGACATTCTGAGGCTGTGGGGAGTTGTTCACCAGTTTGGTCTGGATGATGGTGTTGGCCATACGAGAGGTAATAGTGGACTGGACTTTGTAGCTATAAAGAGTTACTTGATCAGCCTCTTCCTGTAACATGCAAGAAAGCATAGGGTTACTCATAGCAAAATGACATAGAACTTCACCACGTTTTTGATGTTAATTAAGAGCACTGCATTTTATTATGCATAATTCTCAGGCATTGTTAAGCTTATAACTCAGGTAGTATAAAGCATTCTCCTAGCTTGGAATCCCCTTGCCAGGCCGAAGCCTGCCTTTGTTTTGAGATCTCTTAAGAGAGCTCTCAGCTCTAGGAGTCTATAAATAACGACGTAGAAAGTAGAAAATGGATGCAAGATTGGATTGAGAAAGTTCAAGAAATAACTTCAAATGCAGGACCTAGCAAGGGAATGGATGCAGGATGGCAGGGTTTTTGGGGACCCTCGCTGTATCTTCAGAGCAAGGTACGGCCAAGAGTAGAGTGGGGTGGAAGTACACATATCTTCCCCATACTGCTATCTGCCTTCTTCCATTTTTAAAAAAATTATTTATGTATTTGAGAAAGAGACCACAAGTAGGGGGAGCAGCAGAGGCAGAGGGAGAAAGAGAGTCTTCATGGAGCAGAGAGCCTGACTCAGGGCTCAATCCCAGGACCCTGGGATCATGACCTGAGCTGAAGGCAGGCGCTTAACCAACTGAGCTATCCAGGTGCCCCTGCCTTCTTCCATCTTACATTTCATGGTGCCATCTTCTCCCCATCCTTTTCTCCTTCCCCCAGTTAGAGCCAAATATGACACACTGATGGGTGTGAGCAGCCGTTAGAATATGAAGAGAAAGTATCTTGTTGAGGTCATGATTGGTCTTGGAGCTGCTCTGCTAACCCTTGTCTACTGATCTTACCGATCCCTACTGATTAGGGCAGCTCCCCTCTAACAAATCAGTCTGTCACTGTGCTGAAAGTCAAGGCCCTAGAAGCACACATCTTTCAGGAGATGCCTGAGAACAGCAAGCTCCTTCACGGCCATGGCAATTAGGTGACCTGTTAGATTTTGCCTTCTGCTCTAAAAGGATTTGCTTATTTCCACACTAAGTGTCATCTCTGGGACTTCGTCCGCCAAGAGTAAGCCTCCCAACTCGGTAACAGCCAGGTCACCTCAAGCTAAGACAAAATCCAGGCTGAGTTACTCAGCCCTTCCTACCCTTTATTTATTTATTTTTTTTATTTGCTTATGATAGTCACAGAGAGAGAGGTGCAGAGACACAGGCAGAGGGAGAAGCAGGCTCCATGCACCGGGAGCCCGACGTGGGATTCGATCCCGGGTCTCCAGGATCGCACCCTGGGCCAAAGGCAGGCACCAAACCACTGCGCCACCCAGGGATCCCCCTTCCTACCCTTTAAATGCGTGCTTCTAACAGTTTCTGTCAATTCAGAGCAGGAAGCCAACGTAAACCACTTCCTTTTGATGTTTTATCACCACAGGAAGGACTTCTTTGAACATCTCAGGGAATCAGGCCATTTCATGTTTGGGAGCTCCTTTCCCATTCTTTTTCCCCCTCCAAATCCTTTAGGTGTCATATTTTAAGTTAAAACTGCTAAGTTGGAATGAATACATATGCTTGGATGAAACCCATGTTGTTGGCAAAACTTGAGAAAACAGAGAGAAAGGACATTTTCAGCTCCTGGTGACATGTCTCCTGGCTACATATATACTATACCCTCTCATGTTGTATTCTAGACACCCTTCCAGGCAGAATTGGGCAAGAGGGTATTTCGAAAGTCAGGTAAATGCTCTCTGGGATAGAGACAAAGGAGGCAACTATATTGATCTCCAGATAATAGGTAACAGGAAAATCATTTGGTCATCAATTTTTAACAAAATCAAAGTAAACTCACCATCACCTCTCCAGATTCTCCAAAAACACTTCTCTGTGGAAGGAAGTTAGACAATCATTCTTCAAAAGTGTGTTACTTATTACCTAGAGGACAAAAACTGCTTTCTCTCAGTCAAAAAAAAAAATATTTTTTCCCCTTCAATACTGAGTTACAATTCATTCACTGGAACTGAGACATAAATGTCAAATATTCTCAAATACTGTTTTCCCACTGGTGTGTTTCTCTGGACACACTTCTTGGCCACTTTGCAAGCACACCATTCTTTGATAGAATGCTAGAGCAAATATTTTTAAATGAAAATATTCAATGAAACTCATGCTGCATGGCCTATCTCCCCTTTGTTGTAGTTGATTTATTTTCTTATCTAGTAGAATGGTAATCTGGATGCCCCCGCCCACCACGGGGCTCTGGGCGTGCCATTTGCAAGGTTTGTAGTGCTTTATTTCCAGGTGCCCTTGTCTGCCCAGCCCTCACTCATCCTTCAGATCTCAGCTCAGGGGGATTTTCACAAATTATCTCATGCCCACCCCCAAACAAGATAAGCTTCTTTTATTAAGTTTTCATGGCAGCTAAGCTCTTCCTTCCAAGCAAGACAATGGGAGTGCATGTCTGTCTCCATTGGACTCAGCTACATTAGGGTAGGGATTTTGAGGCATTTCCTTTTTGGGGTGGCCCTGGAGCCAGGCATAGTGACTGGCATGTGGAAAATCCCATACCCTCACTGCTATGCTGGGGAATTATCCACATGAAGAACTATCTTCTGGGCATGGAAAGCTGAATTGGGTTTAAAGAGATGAGTGAACATCTAATGTCTGTTGGACTTTAACAGAATAAGTCAGGTGCTGGATGTAAGGCTAGCTAGCTTGATTTGGGGTGAACTAAGGTCTTAGGTCATGTTATGTGACATTGTGAGGTCAACAGGCACCTTCTTTTGAACTTTTTTGAATGCAATTCTCGATGAAGTTTTCTCTCTTGTGGCTAGATGACACGAGAGTTTGCCCATTGGGTTTTTATATTATCGGTCTACAAGAAACCTGGACTAATACAAAGTCAAAAATTCACACCCATACGAAATAAGTCATTGGTCAGCTTAGCGTTGATTCCTTAAATACCCCCTTTCTCAGCGCGTGGGCTCCATGTGGGAGAAGCCACACCCTTCCTGGCCTCCTGGAGAATTCACCCCTATGAATTACAGGATGCATCTGTGCTGTTGCTGGCGGCATCCAGGATGTAGCTTTGGACATGGCCAGTCCCTATGCTCCCTGGGCTGCACCCCAAGGCTACACCATCCAAGGAGAGTGTATACTCAGTGGACAGTGTCTGCCACCACTGGGGGAAAAAAAATGCCCTCCTCAGAAGAAATCTTTCCTGAAAAGGCAGTAAAATCATCCCATAATCTTAAAATTTGAAGAGAACACATAGCTATTCATCCTTTAAGGAACTAAGGTGACCATTAGGATAAAAAAAAAACAAGCTCTGAGAAAATCTAGGAAAAAGCATCTTAATCCTAATCTTACTTCCATCAGTCATGATCTCTTTTACTTATTTTCCCTTTTGAGACTAAGGCTTACTGTACCTGATACCTCCGGTTCTCTGGCACAAACTGAAATTTGCCTGGGGCCAGTTCCACAAGATCTCCATATTCTGCAAACTTAAAAAAGAATTAAGAATATTTATTTCTATTAATAAAAATGATCTAGAGCAAAGGAGGCAGATAGGGACAGGCATAAGGTCATTCATCACATTTTTTTTTAATTTATGATAGTCACAGAGAGAGAGAGAGAGAGAGAGGCAGAGACACAAGCAGGCTCCATGCACCGGGAGCCTGATGTGGGATTCGATTCTGGGTCTCCAGGATCGCGCCCTGGGCCAAAGGCAGGCGCCAAACCGCTGCGCCACCCAGGGATCCCCTCCCCCCCCTTTCTTAACACATAGCTCTTTAATGTATTTATATTTGCTTGGTTGGTCTAAGAGGTGAGAAAATGGAAGCTATTATCTTCAAATTTGTTGGACGAAGGAAGGTATTTTTTAGTTTGACAGGAGATGATGGGGACTTACAGATTGGGCTCATAGTAACCCAGTGATCAGGTTTGGGTAGACATTGGCATTAGCAAGCATGTGAGTAGGCAAATGTGTCCATAGGTCTCCGCCAATTAAAAATGTTGAATACCCACCATTTGCTTCGACGTGGATGGAACTGGAGCATATTATGCGGAGTGAAATAAGTCAATTGGAGAAGGACAATCATCATATGGTTTTACTCATACGGGGAATATAAGAAATAGTGAAAGGGATTATAAGGCAAAGGAGGGGAAATGAGTGGGAAAATTTAGAGAGACAAACCATGAGAAATTCCTAACTCTGGGAAACAAAGGGTTGCAGAAGGGGAGGTGTGTGGGGGGGGGATGGGGTAACTGGGTGCCATGCCCTGAGGAGGGCACTTAATGGGATGAACACTGGGTGTTAACCTATATGTTGGCAAATTGAACTTAAATAGAAACAAATTTAAAATTAAAAATAAAAATGTTGAAAAAAGATGTTGATAAGAAAGGAATACCGGTAAGAAGTGACTGAAAGAGCACAACAAACATGTTTGGATGTCCTGGCTTCAACCCCCGGCTCTGTCAATGAGATTGCCAACGCACTTGGGTGCTCCTTAAGGTATTGGAGAATAAGATATTTCTAAGCAGACAGAGTTTTTTTTTTTTTTTTCCCTGCAAATATGCCCTCCTGTTCTTTGGCATTTGTGTGGGTAATCCACTCTGCAAGCATTATAAAGCCTCTGCACCTCTTAGGATATCCCCATAACTCACGTTCCTTTTCAGGCGTCAAAACAGCTCTTCTTGACTTTAAAAATGACTCAGTCCACGACTTTCCTGATCTTGGGGATGGCCAAGGAACCAAAGTGGAACCCTTGAGCTCCCTGGAGAGAATTCCTGCAATCTGACAGCCCACTTGCCATCTCCCCCCTTCTCTTACCAGGAATATTTAAAGTGCCCTCATGACAGGACTCATTGTTCACTTAGGTAGGAAAAACAATAGTGCTCTGATAATGGCTTTTCTTACACTCTTAGTGCAAGAGTGATAATGATGTGTCATCCTCATCACAGCTAATAATTATTAAGTGCTTCCTAGTCCTTGCATTGTGCGGGTAGTTTACATATGTCATTTAATTCCCCACCACCCTTTGAGGGGGTTAGATCAATTATCCCCATTGTTAGGATAAGGAGTGCACGGCTGGGTTCAGTAAATGTTGCACCGCAGGGCCGCTCCATTGAATTGGACTGAATTTTCATGCAAATCCCATTAATCCTTTAAAAGGTAAATACCCATTCCGGGTAATTAGAACCGTGAACATTCCTACTCAGATGAATTTTATCATAAATTTCCTTTCCTTTCCTTTCCAGTGGCTATTGACTGAACCTGCGTAGAGGCCCACAGCAAAGAGTTTTCTGGAAGTACTTACTTCTGGAAGTCCATTGGTGGGGATTTCGAAGCCTTGTGTTTCAGAAACAAAGAAGCAGATGAGGAGGCACCTGAGCTGATTCATTTTTGCTGCGTGGCTTTGCCAAGCAGGGTCCGGGGGGATCCTACCCCTCGCTGAACCCAGTTCAAAGGAGCAGCAGAAAGAGCCCGTGTTTTAAAAGAAGTCGAAAGAAGAAGAAAGCTCCCAAACTTCGTTCAAAAAAACGGGACAAATATTTGTTCTGGAGTTCAAGCTGGAGCTGTGGGGGTGGATGGGACACCCGGAGGTTATTCAAACAGCGAAGCCACAGGGAGCCACGGGGCCAGTGAGGACAAGGCAGGGTCAGAGGGACCCGCTTTCTTTGGCTCCTGCTTATTTCCCTTCCTCTGGGAATCAGAGAGCCCTAAGAGCAGCAGCATCCTCTTTGAAGTACCAGGTGGGAAGCCACACGGGGAAATAAAGTCACAGAGAAATGGGTGAAAGCATGACATTTCTGGAAACGTGATCCTTTTATTTAAAATAAAAGCAAGTGAAGTTTAGCAAAAGTGGAAAAAGAAACACAAGGGTGTTAGGAGCCAAGCACTCGCGGCTGGAGGTTTTTCCTTCTCTCTCTCTGATAAGCAAGTACCTGTTGCGGTGAGGCTGAGCCAGGTGCAAAGGCACGCTCTTCAGGGAGGCCTTACCCGAAAGTCTTTGACTAAGAGAATAATGTCTGTCCCTGCAGCTGCCCCCGATCAGCCCCACTCAGGTCAGGGGTGGGGGTGGGGGGTGGGGAAGAATTCTCCTCCGTTCCAGAATCAGAGAAAACCCAGCCTGGAAGCACTATGTACTAAGCCTTCCCATTTGTGGTCTGGATGTAATGATAATATTAACTAAGGTTTATTGAGGGATCCCTGGGTGGCGCACCAGTTTAGCGCCTGCCTTTGGCCCAGGGCGCGATCCTGGAGACCCGGGATCGAGTCCCCCATCGGGCTCCCGGTGCATGGAGCCTGCTTCTCCCTCTGCCTCTCTCTCTCTCTCTCTCTGTGACTATCATAAATAAAAATTTAAAAAATGTATACTAAGATTTATTGAGCCTCCTGGGATTGGATGCTTTTACTTGTATTATCTCTAATCCTTTTATTTATTAATCTTTAAAAGAACCAGGGGCACCTGGGTGGCTCAGGACGCGATCCTAGGGTCCTGGGATTGAGTCCCACGTTGGGCTTCCTGCAAGGAGCCTGCTTCTCCCTCTGCCTGTGTCTCTGCCTCTCTCTGCGTGTCTCTCATGGATAAATAAATAAATCTTTTTTAAAAAAGAACCATGTGAGGTATGTACTATATTTGTCCTCCTTTATTATTGAAGAAAACAAGGCTAAGTATTTTTTTTTAAAAATTTCCTTTATTTGAGAGAGAGGGTGCAAGAGAGCAAACAGAAGTCAGTGGAGGGCAGAGGCAGAGGAAGAAGCTGACTCCTCCTCCAGCAGGGAGCCAGACACAGAGACTCCAAGATCATGACCTAAGCTGAAGGCTGATGCTTAACCAACTGAGCCACCCAGGTGCCCCGAGGCTAGGTTTTATTCACATCTATGGTTAGTAAGTGAAGACACAGATCCAGCAAGTTTGGCCTGACCCAAAAGCCTTTGCTCTTCATGACCACATGGACCTAGCAGCTACAACCTGCCGTCCATCCCTGGGAACCAGTGTTCTGGGTGTGAATCTAGACTAGAATTCACCTGTAATCCCCCATATGGGTAGCAAGTCTACTTGATGAGTCTTTTTTCCTGAGCCTCTACTGCAGACATCTGCTTGCACATGGGTGATGCTGTGGACCTCAGTTTGGTCACGTTGTTTTTGGCTTTCCTTCTCAGAATGGAACACATGGCTTCCTGCCTAATGTGCTGTGATTTAGCACCTGGCCACAGACCCGCTGCTGGAAATGATCACTCTCTAAAAGTCCACTCACACAGGGGAATTTACACCCAGAGAGACATAGGAAGTCTACTATGGTGTCTCAAACATGATGCTCTAAGGCTTTTTCCAGCAGATTCAGTTGTGATCACACTTGGGAGCTTCCCTCGAGCCTCAAAGACTCACTGTGAGAGTTTCATCGAACACAGGGCCATTGTCTGAGAAAGCTGTTGGATTTTGTTTAAAGGGAAATGGTTTAAAATATTTTAGAAACAATGCAAGTGAAAAAAGAAAGTAAAACAATATGCCAGAGGGCAGCCCAGGTGGCTCAGCAGTTTAGCACGGCCTTTAGCCCAGGGCATGATCCTGGAGACCTGGGATCAAGTCCCACATCAGGCTCCCTGTATGGAGCCTGCTTCTCCCTCTGCCTGTGTCTCTGCCTCTCTCTTTTTCTCTCATGAATAAATAAATAAAATCTTTTTAAAAATATGCCAGAAAGATAATCCTGTAAATTGAAATATGCTGGATGGTACTTTAAAAAAAATATAGTTTTATTTATAACCCCCAAGCACATGCCAAAAATAGTTTGAAGTACAGGTTCAAGTAGAATATAAAATGCATATAGGTTAAATTTACCTGTAAGATTAGGAAGGGTTACTGACAATTTTTTTAAAAAAGATCAAACCCATGCTATCTCCATGAGAGACTATCTCAATGAGACAAAACAGACTAAAAGTTGATATTGCATTAAAAATCTCCTTATTTCAGGGGATCCCTGGATGGCTCAGCAGTTTGGTGCCTGCCTTTGGCCCAGGGCTGGTCCTGGAGTCCCGGGATCGAGTCCCACATCAGGCTCCCTGCATGGAGCCTGCTTCTCCCTCTGCCTGTGTTTCTGCCTCTCTCTGTGTCTCTCATGAATAAATAAATCAAATCTTAAAAAAACATCTCTTTATTTCAGAGATTTGAAAACAGATTCTACAAAGATAGTATCAGGTTAAAATAGGTGTCATAGCAAATAGTAACCCAAAAAAGTCAGAAGAGAGAATTAAATTTGAGTGGAAATCAACAATTTGGAGAAAAATGATACAATATTGATTTTTTAAATTAGAAGATTTTTTAAATTAGAAATTTAAATTAGATTTTTAAAATTAGATAAATCAGACAGAGATCCATCTGATTAATGAATGCAGAAGATATGATAATAAATTAAAAAATGAAAGTGAGATGTATATTAGTAACATGAATTGACCAGTATGTCAAATTCATAAGACACCTTACATGAAATGTAAAATATTTAAAATGATCAATGATGTAGAAGTAAACAGACAAAAACTCAGAACAAGAAATAGAAAAAGAGACATAAAAAAATATCATTGAACCTACTACTTTTTTGGAACTTCATAGGATGTACAATATCTGGACAGCTTACAGAACACACCATGGTTTTTAATTCATTTAATGAGGTAGATAGTGGATACTGTCTTCACCTACATATCTGAAGTACACACTAAAAAAGCTTTAGGACCAATTCACATTATTAAAAATAGTAGATATTGGGCAGCCCGGGTGGCTCAGCAATTTAACGCTGCCTTTAGCCCAGGGTGTGATCCTGGGAGACCTGGGATCAAGTCCCACGTCGGGCTCTCTGCAAGGAGCCTGCTTCTCTTTCTGCTTGTGTCTCGGCCTCTCTCTCTCTGTGTGTCTCTCATGAATAAATAAATAAAATCTTAAAAAAATAAAATAGTAGATATTATCCTGGACATTTTCTTACCAGAAAAGAATAATCCTGGATAGCAAAAGTGGGTTAGCCTAGGAAATTGAGGCTCGTATTACACAAGAAAATTTATCAAATTAAAACTTTAGCAACAAAAATACTAAAATTTTTTCACTATCTCGATGGCTCTTGAGAAGCCATTCAACAAATTCCATAATCTGTTTCAGATGAAACTGCATAAAATATTAGTCTCAGGAGGCAATTTTTTTAACTTGATGGGAAGTGTGTGTGTGTGTGTAAAATCAAGAGTCAAGTTGGAAAAGATTAAGAAACATGGTGCAGAAAAGTCACTTCTCTTAAAAAGAGACACCAAAAGATTAGTTTTTGTTGAGGGTGAGACTACTAATCCATAAAATTTAGAGACTCTTATTAAAAAAAATGACTAGTAATAGCAAAGTTGTTTAGCCAAACAGTGAGGTACAAGGTGAACCCACAAAATCAGTTACCTTTCCTTTAATTAGTGATTGCATCAGAAATAGCACAAAGAAGTTCTTTTCTAATTGTATGAGAAGCACATAAGAATTTAAGTCAGGACAGAGATTTATAACAAGAAATATCTAAAACTCTGGTAAAAACAAGGAAGCCATGAATAAAGTGAGCACTGTACTCTTAAAAATGCTACTTGTTTTTTTTTAGAACTTGGTATAATGTTTATTTATTTATTTTTTTATAAATTTATTTTTTATTGGTGTTCAATTTGCTAACATATAGAATAACACCCAGTGCTCATCCCATCAAGCGCCCACCTCAGTGCCCGTCACCCAGTTACCCCCGCCCCCCTCCCACCTCCCCTTCCACCACCCCTAGTTCGTTTCCCAGATTTAGGAGTCCCTCATGTTCTGTCTCCCTTTCTGATATTTCCCACTCATTTTTTCTCCTTTCCCCTTTATTTCCTTTCACTATTTTTTATATTCCCCAAATGAATGAGACCATATAATGTTTGTCCTTCTCCGATTGACTTATTTCACTCAGCATTATCTCCTCCAGTTCCATCCACGTCGAAGCAAATGGTGGGTATTTGTCGTTTCTAATGGCTGAGGAATATTCCACTGTATACATAGACCACATCTTCTTTATCCATTCATCTTTCGATGGACAATGAGGCTCCTTCCACAGTTTGGCTATTGTGGACATTGCTGCAAGAAACATTGGGGTGCAGGTGTCCCGGTGTTTCACTGCATCTGCATCTTGGGGTAAATCCCCAGCAGGATAATTGCTGGGTCGGAGGGCAGGTCTATTTTTAACTCTTTGAGGAACCTCCACACAGTTTTCCAGAGTGGCTGCACCAGTTCACATTCCCACCGACAGTGCAGGAGGGTTCCCCTTTCTCCGCATCCTCTCCAACATTTGTGATTTCCTGCCTTGTTAATTGTCCCCATTCTCACTGGTGTGAGGTGGGATCTCATTGTGGTTTTGACTTGTATTTCCCTGATGGCAAGTGATGCAGAGCATTTTCTCATGTGCATGTTGGCCATGTCTATGTCTTCCTCTGTGAGATTTCTCTTCATGTCTTTTGCCCATTTCATGATTGGATTGTTTGT